TGCGTCATTTTACCTTTCTGTCCCTGGACCTCTCCTGCACTGAGATCTCGTGCGCACACATGACACTTTCTTCTGTTAATCTGTCCCCTGTCCATTTGGCTGTCTAACCGGCCTACGAGCCAGATAAGGGGAAACCAGTGCCTCTGCCTCGGAGCAGGGAGTGGAGGGTGGTGACAGTGTTGCGTTCCTGTTGGCCACCGCGTCTTACTGTGGCTTTCTGGCCTCCCGTGTCTTCCATTCCCCAAGCCCAGGCTGCCTCCCCTGGCCACACTCATCCGCCTCCCTGCGCCGTCCAGTCTGCTACGGACAGGCATTAGTGTTCTTCTAGGCCAAGCACAATGGTTAATTTTGTTCATGGCCTTCTCCACCTTTATAATTGTGTCATCTGCAGTAAAGCAACAAGCAGGAAGATCTGGGGGAGATAATAGATCAACCGAAGGACTTGTATACATGCATATAAGTACAACCAATGGACATAAAACTGGGGAGGGAGGGTATGTATGGGAAGGAGGGAGGGGGGCAAAAAAATATTAAAAAAAAATAAAACTGTTCACAACTCCAAAAATAAATAAATAAATAAATAAATAAATAAATAAATAAATAAAAATAAAAATAAAAATAAAATTGTGTCATCTGGTCACTGTCAGCTGCTTCATGCAATTACTCAAAACTCGAATTTCTTTCTTCTTTGGAAAGAAGCTCCTGGTTGTCTATCCTGGCTGCCCATTAGAATCACTTGGGGAACTTTTAAAATCCAGCATTAGGCCACACCTGAGACCAAAAACGAGGCTTTCTAGAAGTGGGGCACAGCCTCGGTGGTTTCATAGCTCCCAGGTGACTGCAGAGTGTGGTCAGGTGACTGCAGAGTGTGGTCAGGTGACTGCAGTGTGTGGCCAGGTGACTGCAGTGTGTGGCCAGGTGACTGCAGAGTGTGGTCAGGTGACTGCAGTGTGTGGCCAGGTGACTGCAGTGTGTGGCCAGGTGATGCAGAGTGTGGCCAGGTGACTGCAGAGTGTGGCCAGGTGACTGCAGTGTGTGGCCAGGTGACTGCAGAGTGTGGTCAGGTGACTGCAATGTATGGTCAGGTGAATGCAGTATGTGGTCAGGTGAATGGAAAAATCCTAGATCACCTTCTTGGATTCTTATTACCCAAGTAACCAAGAACACTGAGTGGCGTATGGGGAGCTTAACCAATGAGTGGTCAGAAAAGGTGTTTCCTCTGTCGCTCACACTCTGAGGGGCTGCTGGCGCATGTGGTTGGCAGGCCCTGTTCTCTGCAGGCCTGCTCACTGCGCAGTGGCTGGCAGGCTGTTCTCTCCTCTGGGCCTGTGCCATCCATGGCTTGCCTCGCCTCGCACACCTCTTCCTGAGCAGTTGTGACACTATATTTTCCCCTTTGGTTAATCTCTCCCTCTGTGATTCTGCACCCTATTCCATGCTTCTATGTCTCTGGATCCATTTTGTTCATCAGTTTATTTATGATCCCACATGAGATCATGTGATACTTGTCTTCCTCTGACTGGCTTATTTCGCTTAGCATAACTCTCCAGATCCGTCCACACCTCTCAAAGGGTAAGAGCCTTCTTTTTTACTCCACAGAATGTGAGGCCTATGGCTCTGCGCCATTTCAGTTCCACCAAGTGCTTAGGGATTTTAAGAGACTACCATCACATTCCATATGCCAAGAAACTCAAGCTTCAGACTAGAAAACCTGCTTTGGGATTGCTTAAGGGCACCTGGTGACCTGGGTAACCGTAGGACGGCTACTTTACCTCGGGGTGTTCCCCCTCCTGACTGCCAGTCCTCGGGGAAGCCTGCATCAGGGGCCCTGCTCCAGCTGCCCATCTTTGGTACATTTAGCGCCAGCAGGATGTTCCTTAAGAGTTACATTCAGTGATGTCCCTTTTGTCATGTATTATTAAGGTCACACATAAATTATGTGCACTTTTAGGTCAAGAGACAAATTATGCCGATATAGCAGCACCGATATTGTGCCTTCTCTATACTCTCTCTACCTCCAGAAGAAATGTCAGACATGATGAAACATCTGAAAGGACGTACTGAGAGTTCCCCAAAACGTCTTCAAGCCATTAGAGAGAATGTCCTTTCGGTCATTGCTATTCAAACACATAAGCAGCCAATCGATGGAAATTACAGGTAGGTGGGGGAATTATGAGTTTGGGGGTGGTGACTAAACTAAAACTCAATGTATTTGTCACCAGTGTTGGTGACAGTCTCCCATACGTTCTGATGCGCCATGCTTAAGAGGGGTTCAGTGTTGCTAGAACGACCAATAGGTGTGAACACAGCTCCTCACTGATACTCCTCAGGCTTTAGGTCAAGTGCACACTGCCTCAAATTAGCCAGGATCACAGATTTCTGCCAGGACTGTCTCTGGCTCATCTCAGGATCCCTAACGAAATCATTTGCTTAGGAAAAAGGTGCAGAGGATTACCTCATTACTAAACAACTTAGCAGCCAATGGGGAGAGAGCATACTCAAATCGAAAGATGTCACTAGGAACTGAGAGGAAAAACAGTGTCTGGAGCCTGCACCCATCTGTCTGTACACCTTGATGGGACCCCTGGGGAGAGGTGTGCCCCAGCCCCACACCACCTGCCCTTTGTAGCGTGTGAATGACACACAGTATGAGCATCATCTCCTGGCGCCTTCAGAGTATGTAACCACGAGTTCCAATGGAATCTGCTCCTTCAGAAATATGTGCTTAACAGCATCACCTGGCACAGACTCACTCCATTTCTCATATTTCTTAAAGGGCAAATTAAATCTCTTCATTGCTCAAACTGAACTTAATTTACACTCACCTAAAACGGAGGAATCCCCCCTGGGTAGTGAGAAAACAAGACCCTCTTATTTTCCTGGCTATTTGAACAAAGATTCATCCCACCACCATTAGCCAATGCTGCTTACTAGCTGTGCATCACAGCAAGGTTAGCCCTGCCCTGCCAGGTTCTGTCTCATTTCAATGCGGGCCCCACGGTTGTTTTCCAGCCCAAGCAACCCCTCCTGAAGGCTGTTCAAGCAACAACAACAACGTGAAATCACCTTCTGCATTTAAGGAACACACAAAATGTGCATCTGAATGGTTTTTAAAAATTGTTTTTAATTCGTCCCCACTCCATATGCAAAGACATCTGTCGATTTCTAGACCAACTGTTTCAGATTACTGGATTTGACAGAAGAATCTGCGAAGGTTCTTTTTCTCCAGCGGTGATGGCCACCTTCTGCTTGTTTGCTCAGATCCACTCTTGCATGTTCCCGAGGGTGCCTTCACACTTGGGACAGTCCCTGGGCTCATCTCACTTTGGACACTTTTATGCTTGCTAACTGCAAAAGTAACTGGCCTCTTTAGGTCAAATCTCAATCATGGGCTCACTGGAGCCATGCTCTAGTCAACAGAGCTATAAATGCTAAATAGTTAAGAGGCAAATAAGCAAAATCAACTTTTGCTTTTCATATTTCTTAGATAAGATTTGGGGCTTTAAAAAGAAATACCTTATGGAAAAAGAAAAAAGTATAAATGAGAATTTAAAAGGATTTTTGTTAGCATCAACAGAGAAACACAATTTAATTCCATTTGTTCCATGGAGAAGAAAACAGGTATAAAAGGAAGTGACTTTATATTTAGATTTAACTGGGTCCTAAGCTACTAATAAAACTTTTGTTAAAACCACCATAAAAATTAAAACTAGTCTAAAATATAATTGCAGTGTTCTTTAGGATTTGAGAGTGAGATGTTGTAGGTTGAAGTGAATGTTCCCTTGGGTTGCCAAATGCATTCCCAAGAGTGTTTCTAGGCTGTGGGGATAGAAGGCCAGTGTCAATAATGTTTATCCATAAGGCGAACCTTCAGCTACATGTCCAGATTTAAGACTTGCCCTACCTCAATGCCCAAGTATTGGAAATTGTAAGCTAGATGTACCTGCATGGGAAGTTTTTTCACAATTCACACCAGAAAAAAGCAGCTCTCAGGAAAGGGAAAAAAAGCCACTGTGTGTAAACCTGCAAGGAAAACCCTAATATAGAAGAGCAACTACTTATTTTTTTCAACTGCAGAGTTTGTTTTTAAAAATTCAGTTACTGCCCTGGCCAGTGTGGCTCCTTTGATTGAGCGTCGTCCCCTACATCGAAAGGTCGTGGGTTTGATCAATTCCTGGTCCATGCATGTTTGGGAGGCAACTGATCCATGTTTGTTTCTCTTTCTCTCCCTCTCTCTCTCTCTCTCTCTCTCTCTCTCTCTCTCTCTCTCTCAAAAAAAAAAAAAAATCAATAAAGACAGACATCTCCTCAAGTGAGGATAAAAAAAATAAAATAAAAAATCATCTACCTAATAGTAAAAAGTCAAGGTTTTTGTTTGTTTTACATGAGAAAGGAGTGTAAATAAGTTCATAAAACAGTATACAAATGTTTATGAGCCAGTAATTTAAAAAGACAACAACAAAAAAACTGCATGGATCCTAAGAGGATATGTGATACATCCACTCCAGTCAGAGGTATTGTAAGAACAGTCTGACGTCCTCAGAGCGGGCAGCATGGAGTCAGGTGCCGCACCAGTGGCGATGTGGCAGGCAGCACTGCGCTCAATTATTCCCTAAAAGGAACAGAGGAAGGAAAACAAGCAGTTCTGATTGCTCTTTTCACATTTCAGCCTCTCAGAACTCCATCCCAAAGAAAGACCGTGAAGAAGCCCTCCGCGGTGCCTGTGGAGTTTTGGGAGTGGCAGCGTCCCTGCTGAGGGCAGGCGGGGCGTGGGAGGAACCCGCTGCTGACGGTGGCCGAGCACAGGGGCTGGGCTAGGTCAGCAAGCAAGTGGCCCTGAGGTCCTGGCTTTCCAGTCTGTGTCTCGGCTGTGGGCCTGTGGGGCACCTATCCTCTACTGTGGGTTCTGTTGGTTAAAAATACAACAGTTGCATTTGCAGCACTTCAGTTATTTAAAAACAACTTCATCCTCCTTTCCCTCATCCAACTGTAAGAAAGGAGAAATTCATTAAGCATTTATTTTTAGGTTTCTGAATTGCTATTAAAATTCAATTAAATGTAAAACCTAATAGACAGCCCCAAATTGTTAGGATTATCTCAAGGGACCCTGAATCGGGCAGTGAAATGAGCTGGACTTGCGTGGTTGGCTGTCTCCATGCCAACAGCCATGTGTTGTCCCCCGGAGTGGTCCCACGCCACCCCTCAATGAGAGCGCTGGCAGCAGCAGGGTGTGGTTTGGGGGAAGCTACTGGGTTTGCCATTTGCTTCCAGAATCACAGACTATGATGAACTTGACATTGAACACTGCTGAGTCCTGAGTTGGGGAAAGCCCGTGAAGGAGGGCCGAGTTGAGAGGCTCTTCCCTCCTTTGACTGGTGTCATACGTGGCCTCTGGCTCGCTCTTCTTCCACTGCTTGGCTTGCTGTTTCTTTTTCATTGGTGACCCCTCCTAAAGTCTTCTGGCCCATGGCTTTACTGGCCTCCTGGGAAGACAGAGTGGAACGCTCAGTTAGCTCCTGGCCTGCAGACGGTCTGCACTGACAGGAGAGGGCAGCACCAGGACTACCCAGGCTTCTGGGCGGGGTAAGCCAGGGCTGCGCTGCCCATGGAGAGGGAGCAGTTGCTTTCCTTCAGTTAAAATGACCAGCCTGCCACTGTTTGATAACCCGGTCCACGTGGCAAGCTGCAGGGGAGGGTGAGCTCAGGAGAACACAGCCTGCAGCCAGGGAGCAGGCCTCTCGCCGGGTGCCAGGATGGCTCCCCAGCCTCCCAGCAGAGGCATGGCAGGGGCAGCCCCACCACAGCCCATTTCCTGGGAAAATAGAGGTATTACCTGGAGAACACCTAACGTGCGTGATTTTTAAAAAATAAAAGCTTTAGGTCATGCCTAGGCGATCGCTTGGCCTCAGCTCTCTACTGCAGGCCTGGTGAGCAGAGTAGCCCCATGCTCCCTCTGGACCAGACTGGATCTCGGCTCGGAGCCTGATTCCCTGGGCTGTGCTCTGGGGGTGGAGTGTCCCCTCTGAGACTATAAACCAAAGGGCGAGGTCCGTTCCGATCTACCACCCGATGGCCAGGGCGTCCCCCACGCACCTTGGCATCCTGCTCCGCAAACTTGGCGAACATGTTGGCGTAGATCTTGCGGTCTCGCTCGTTGTGCTCCTTCGCCTTCTTCTGGCACATGGAGATCTGCAGCCGCGCGGCCTTGTTCTGGGGGTTGACTGCCAGCACCTTCTCGAAGTCGCCCCTGGCTGACTCGAACTCGTTCATGAGCAGCTGGGCTTCCCCCCTCCGGTACAAGCCTTTCTCGTTGGCACTGTCTAGTCCCAGGGCCTGGAACACAAGGTGTATGCTTCAGAAAGAGTGAATGTAACTGATGGGACTTTTGAAAGAAACTCAGTATTGCCGAAACTGGTTTGGCTCAGTGGATAGAGCGTCGGCCTGCGGACTGAAAGGTCCCGGGTTCAATTCCGGTCAAGGGCATGTACCTTGGTTGCGGGCACATCCCCAGTAGGGGGTGTGCAGGAGGCAGCTGATCGATGATTCTCTCTCATCGATGTTTCTAACTCTCTATTCTTCTCTCTTCCTCTCGGTAAAATATCAATAAAATATATTTTTAAAAAAAGAAAAAAAAAAGAAACTCAGTATTTAAACAAGTTACTAAAGCTCTCTGGCCAGGAAATTAGAAAAACTGTATTGAAAAGATGGTCTCAAGGTTATTACATACTACTGATCAAAACACAACTAATTTACCCAAACTAATTTCTGTGATTAACACAATTTCTCTAAAGACCCCAAAGGATTTGGAAGGGGATCTTGAGAAGTTCATTTTAAAGTTCAGTTGACAGGAGTAAGTGACAAAGAATAGCTGAGAACATTTTGGATAAACAGAAAGAGTAAGAGGAGAATTGCCTTACCTGAGGAAAAAATAGACTACCAACAACTGACATTAAAACAGTTTGGCTACTAGACCATGAACAAACAGGTCAGCGGAGCAGAACAAAGCAAGACAGACTAAATCAGTAGGGAAAGGGTTAACTTGACAAAAAATGGGGTCAAGACAGTAGCTATCCAGGTAGAAAATAATACTTAATTCTTACCTCACATCATAAACACAAACATAAGTTCAAGCATTTTTACATATACTGCCTGCCCAATAAAAATAATAGATTTTTCTAGTTTTTTTTTTTTTTTTTTTTTTAAAGTAAATCTAGTTGGAGCAGGTTTTGCTAGTACTGAATGGGGTTATTTTTATACTCTTAGGGTGGGGAAGACTTCTAACCAGAAAGGAAAAGGCAGATTTGACTCCATCAACATTAAAATTTTCTTTATGGAAAAAGATGCTATTCCAAGTTAAAAGACAAATATGAATGAGGTCCTAGTGTCGTGTTCAGAGTCATAATGTATAGCTTATCTCAAATAGATTATCTCAACCAAAAATAGACCAATAATGCAGTTGAAGATGTGAACAGGCAACCACAGAAGTACAAATAGCAAACAATGAAAATATGTACAATAAAAAGAGAAAAAAAAATCTGTCCATTGAGGAAAAATACCACTGATAATATTCAATGATAATATATAAATTTAAAATGTTACTGTATTAAAATTATCTTTTGACACAGTATTTCAACTTCTAGGAATTTATCCTATAGAAACAATCCCACAAGTATGCAAAGAGAGACATCACATAATCTGTAACATTACAACCTGGACATCTACCAAAAGGGTTGTGAGATAAACCAGAGATGGCGTGCAATGGATACTCAATAGATACTTAAAAGAATGAAGAAGTGTTATATGACAGATGCAGGAAAATGTCGTTTGATAAAATTATGTCTAAATCTCTATATTCTAATTTTTAAAAGAACATATACATATATGTTACTTTATGTGTGGAAAAATCGGAAGGAATATGTGTGAGATCAATGAGTGATTCTGGGAGAGATGGTCAACTGGAACCTTATAAATGAACTTTTACTTTCTTGTATGTTTCATAATTTTGAACTTGAGTAACTTTATACTATTATAATAAAAAATAAAAGAAGAAAAAGCTTAAAATGTAATTAACAGTAACATTTTTTCTTAGGCAAAATTTGAGTAAAACATGATAGGAACATATTAATCCACAAAACTCAAAATCTTAAAATTAAAAAATAATCTCACAAAGATATATGAAATCGTTGCTTGTTTTTCTTATTCCTTTCTGTTTATCTTTAAGATACAATTGATTGTTAATGTTACCCACAGCATAACACACACTGTTGGCTGAGACCAGATACCTGACCTAAGAGTCAGCATCAGGTACGTGTGCGTAAGAACGCCAGAAGCACGCTTCAGACACCTTCACAAACACCTGGGCTCACAGCGTAGGAACAGTATTAACAACACAAATGGAAAAGGGAGAGAGCTGCTGATGCTTGGTGCGTCTTTCAAACAATTCATGTGTATTCCTAATCAGGAAAAAATAGGATAACAAACAGTGACTTCCTTATATATCCTCAATATGTGCAGTTGCGGCCTGTTTTATTAAAGTACTAAAAGGCTTAAGTTACATCTGTTCTTATTAAATTGAACCTGAGGCGTTATATGTCTAATCTGATACCAAGTGATACTAAGGAGGGTCATTCTATGTTTAATTTTATTGAAACTTTTATGTGTAGTGAATTATTATAAACTAGAGGCTCTGTGCATGAATTTGCACACAGGTGGGGTTCCTTGGCCTAGCTGGTGATGGGGCCACTGGGGAACGCGGGAGGTTGGCTAGTGGTGGGGGAAGAGGAGTCGAGGGAGCCTGGCTGGCTGGGCAGAGGGACCACAGGAGGTTGGCCAGCTGCCTGATCGGGTCGATTGGGGCTGGCCGGCTGGGAAGAGGGACTGCACCCATCAGGGCCATGGGGGTGGGGGTGAGGACCATGGGAGGGTGGCCGTGTGTCACAGCGACTGGCACACCGGCCACTTAGGCTTTTATATATATATATATATATATATATATATATATATATATATATATATATATAGAGAGAGAGAGAGAGAGAGAGAGAGGGAGAGAGAGATAGTTTAAGCCTCAGAAAAGTCTTTAATCAAAACCTTTCTGAATTTCCCAGTTCATACTGAGAAACAATTCCAAACAAACAAAAAATACATAAAGCCAAATGAAAACCCCTTAACCCTTGGCGAGCAGCAGTGAGGGCGGACCAGGGGTGAGGCTGGAGAGAGGCGTGGCCTCTGCAGCCCAGCCTCGCCACGCTACCTTGTCGCAGCACTCCACGGCTTTGGTGTATTCTCGGAGCTTCAGGTAGCACATGGCCAGGTTCAGGAAGGCAGCGAGCAGGAACGACTCAGAAGCTTTTGATTCCTTTTCGGACAGGCCGTATTCCATCTCGAGCCAGGACACTATCTTCCCGTACTGAATGACCGCCTGCAGGTACTTGCCTCCCTGGGAGAGAAGAGCTGGGCATTACTCTCCACACAGGCTCCAGAGGGGCACGAGAGGTGTAAGCCCAGGCCTCCCTGGAAATACCGAACCCTCAAAATGGAAACCCCTCATCATTTGTGGTTTTCCTCAGGGGTGGCTAGCCGGGCACTTTTCCATTCTCTCTGAAGTCCCAATGACCAGTGAGCTGGTCAGGACAGAGACTGCCCCTCCTTTACCCTCACTCTGTTCCAAGGGGACAGTGCTCTCAGCAAGAAGGCAGCAAGGCATTGGGGTAGCCTTCTGTGGTGCTGACGTCTGTCTGTCTGTCGGTCCATCTGTCCATGCAATGTGGAGGTGGGTAGAAGTGAAGGGTGTCATTTCATTTAGATCAGGTAAGGGCATTTTCCCTTATGCCTAGTTTCTTCTTCCTCTTTCCTCCTTCACTTAACGTACCTATTACCTTTCCAGTCACCTCTTCACATATTGCTATAGAGAAAGAAAAAGGGAGGACAAAGGCTGGATCTCACAACTCTGGTAGGCTTTCAATAACAGAATGGTAGAAGACTACAGTTTCTAAAAAGAAAAACAAGTAAGACTTCTTAGTAGTTCCTTTACGTTGAAAGAGCATTTTAATTTCTTGAAAGCTCTTTCATGTATATCACAATCACACATAACTTTATTTAGGTCACTTCCAATGAGCACAGTACAGGTATCTGCTTTGTGGTACTTCTGCTTCTGACGTGCTAACAGGAGTTCTCCCCGGTGACCGTGCCTCCGGGGCATTTGGCAATGTTTGGAGATGTCCTTTGATCATCATGTAACTAGTGGCATCTGGTGGGTAGAAGCAAGGGATGCTGCTAAATATCCCACAATGCCCACGACAGTCTCCACTAACACACAATCATCCGGCCCCAAACGTCAACACAATGCAGGAGGCGGCCGGTGTGGCTGGGTTGGTTGGAGCACCGTTCCTTGCACCAAAAGGTGGCAGGTTCAATTTCCAGGCAGGGCACATACCCAGGCTGCGGGTTTGATTTCTGGTTGGGGCGCTTCTGGAAGGCAATTGATCAATGTTTCTCTCTTTCACATCGATGCTTGTCAGTCTCTCCCCCACTAACATCAATTAAAAAAATGCAGGAGAAAAAAGGCAGGGTTGACTCATAAATGGCTTGTTTCTAAATTATAGCACTGGTTTCTTGGTTCAGCAAGAGTGGTCAAAACATAGTAAAGCCTGTTTGTCTGAAAAGGGTTCCGTGGTTGAAAGATGAACCTCAACTACTAGCTTGCTTTGGAAATGCCTTTTCCCCATAGAACACAAGGGGGCGACAGAGCCCCATGTCACTGCTGGGCCCTCAGCCTTCTCGCCACCAAGTGGTCAGGTGTGATAGTGAAGGCCTTGTCCTGCAGATTGCTAGGGGAAGGAAATGAGAACCATGTTTCCCTGACCTGAACAATGTCTGGCATGATGCCATGTTGTTACCTAGGCTTAGTTATGTTAGGTGCCACGTTAAAAGAGCCCTCTCCTACCTTTCTTCCCTTCAGTGCTCAGAGGCTAATAGGAGGAATGTACAGTCTATACAGCAAAATCGCTCCTATTTAGCTGACCAAAATTCAACCTCTTCAGGAGAGAGATTTACGCACTGAAGTGTAAACCAAATCGCAGATCAATGGAAACGGAGCTCCCTTGTCCTGACGGCATGAAGTGCACATTTTTATGTCACCATCTCTGCTTCACCCACAGTCTGATGACTGCTGCGTGTGCTCCACAGTCTGATGACTGCACCAAGTCAGCCCCAGAAAGATGAGCCAGGAGGGCAGGGTGGAGGCGGAAACCTGCCCTGACCTCTGAAAAGGGAATGTGGACAGGAAACGACCCACCGACCAGCTTGAGGCCTCAGAGCTAAAACGAGGCTCGCTGCTGGGACCTTTTACCTATAATTAGGAAGGTGCCTCTGGGGAAGTGTTCAGAAGTACAAAATGTTCAGAGACATTCTGGGAGAAAAGGCTTAGGTCAGTGGTTTTGAACCTTCCATTAATTTTCCCCCAATGGCTTAGTGTTTTGAAAGATTTCGTCTGTCAAATTGCATTTTAAAAATAATATGTTCCATATGTGTGACTGCTGATGCAGATTTTATTCAAAAATCAGTAATTTTAAGAGGGTTCACAACATTATGAAATACACAAATCACTACTGCAGTTGTGGTGCTAAGAAGCAACCAAGTTCAGTAACTGTATAGACACCTAAGCAATGCTTTTTGCTACTGATCACAAATTCTGGCATCTCTCTGTATATACATTCAAGACATAGCCATATGGCATGTGGCTTTGCAGCATTATTTCATTATCAGTAATGTTCCCCAGAGTTACGAGCCACCAGCAACCAATAGTTTCTAGTGAATTGTTGAGCTGTTTTTCTACACTAAGTTGATATGATTCTAGTTAAATGCCAAGAGCCTCAACCCCCTGCTCAAACTGTTAATGTTCTATTTAGAAATTTGGGAAATATAAAAAAATACATTTAAAGATTTTAATGGACTCCAGGAATATAGGTAACACCATTCAGGACTAAAGGAATTTTTACAGAACATTTTCTTTTTATTCTAGTGTACTGTGTATTTGGGTTTATAAAAAGCACATTTAGAATCTTACTCGAATAGTTTAGAAGTATCCAGTATACATAATTGAATTAAAAAAACAAACAAACTTGCTCTTGAGAGTTTAAAAACTTATAGGATTTCAGGGCTGGAAGAAACTTGGGGATCATTTAATCAGTGGTCGGCAAACTGGCTCGGGAGCCAAATGCGGCTCTTTGGCCCCTTGAATGTGGCTCTTCCATAAAATACCACGTGCAGGCGCGCACATACAGTGCTATTGAAACTTCCTGGCCCATGCGCAGAAGTCGGTTTTCAGCTCTCAAAAGAAATTTCAATCATTGTACTGTTGATATTTTGCCCTGTTGACTAATGAGTTTGCCGACCACTGATCTAATCTAACTCCCTCAACTGAAGAAGTAACCACTTTAGACTTTAAATCATTTGGAATCATAAAGCTGAGAGTCTTATTCAGAGCTCATTTCACCACTGTTTTCTGGTGATCCATATAGTATGTATAATAAGTAGTTAAAAGTAAATATAAATAACTAGAGGCCTGGTGCACGAAATTTGAGCATAGGGTGTGTGTGTGTCCCTCAGCCCAGCTTGCACCCTCTCCAATCTGGGACATCCCTTTCATAATCCAGGACTGCTGGCTCCCAACTGGTCACCCCTAACTGCTCTCCCCTGCAGGCTTGATCACCCCCAACTGCCCTTCCTTGCAGGCCTGGTCCCTCCCAATTGCTCTCCCCTGCTGGCCTGATCACCCATAACTGCCCTCCCCTGCTGGCCATCTTGTATCCACATGGGGGCAGCCATTTGTGGGTTGGAGTGATGGTCAATCTGCATATTACTCTTTTATTAGATAGGATAGAGGCCTGGTGCATGGGTGGGGGCCAGCTGGTTTACCCTGAAGGGTGTCCCGGATCAGAGTGGGGATTCCCTTGGGTCGTGGTGTGGCTTGGGCGAGGGGCCTGTGGTGGTTTGCAGGCCAGCCACACCCCCCGGCAATCCAAGCCTTCTGCGTGCTGCGTGGAGGCAGCCATTTCTGTTGGGATTTATGTATCTTCTATAATTGAAACTTGGTAGCCTTAAGCGGAGGCCTGGGCCAGCCAGGGTGTGAGGAAAGCTTGGCTTCCTCCATCGCCAGGGGGAAACTCTAGTCTCCTGCTCTTTCTAACTCCATGGCTGCCGCCATTTCTGTTTGGATTTATGTATTTTTTATCATTGGAACTTTGTAGACTTGAGTGGAGTCCCAGGCTGGCAAGGGCAGGCAGAAAGCTTGGCTTAACTCCATTGCTGGGAAAATCCAAGCCTCCCTCCCCACTGCTCCCTGTGGCCATAGCAATCATGGTTGGGATTATTTGCATATTCCCTCCTTATTGGCTTGTGGGCGTGACTTGTGGATGCGGTTTGTGGGTGTGGCAGAGTGATGGTTAATTTGCATATTACTATTTTATTAGATAGGATTATATATTATGTAAGCCAACATGTTTCAACTTTTTTTTTAACCAAAACCCATAGTAAAACATGTCTTAAAAAAATCTTAAATTATGATCCACTACCCATTCATACACAAGTGAACAAAAGACTTATGAAACATTTGTCCTTAGTACATAATATAATATATATTTCCCCTATACCAATTTCATGATCTAGTAATGGATTTCCTCTCAAAGTTTGAAAAACAAGAGCCATGCACACTGCTCTTGGGTGCGTTCACTCTGCTTATGCAGTCCTGTATAATTCTCCAGGCGTTTCATGTCAGTGCACATCGCCTCCACTCCCTCCAGACAAGACTGGCAACCAAGAGTGTGTCTTAGAACCAGTGCTCCACAAGGACTCGCCGAAGCACAGCTGTGCATCGCTGCTGCAGACTGCTGAAACAGCATCTGGTTTTTGTTCCTGGATTGCAGTGGCGAAAAGAAAGAAAGAAGGAAGCCTAACAACACTGCCCTTCTTCTCTCGCTCTCTAAGCCCTTCGCGGATACGGAGCAGGTACGTCTGGGGGTGGGAAGCACTGAGGTACCCTCTGATTAGAACTGAACAGAGTGCTGTTTTGTTTTTGTCTTCAATCTGGGGGGGTTAAGATCTAACTGAGGAAATCACATCTTCCTAGGCGTTACAAAAAGGGTTTTCGAGAAACAATCAATGGCAAAGGTCATTCACAAAAGTAGGTGTGGCAGGGATCTTTGTGGCCATCAGAAGAAATGAATCTTCTTCTGTCAGTTTTTCTCTTTCCTCCTCTCTCTCCCTCCCTCTCCCTCTCTCTCTCTCTCTCTCTCTCTCTCTCTCTCTCTCTCTCTCTCCCCCTTCTCTCTCTCCCTCCCTCCCTTTTCTTTCTTTAAAAAAATATTTTTATTGATTTCAGTGAGGAAGGGAAAGGGAGAGATAAAAACAGCAATGAGAATCATTGATTGGCTGCTTCCTGTACGCCCATTATTGGGGCATGTACCTTTGACTGAAACAGAACCTTTCAATCTGCAGGCTGGCACTCTATCCACTTAGCCAAACTGGCTAGGGCTCTATCAGTTTCTTTTGAAATCCGGGCCTTTTGTCACATGCCTTAGTGACTTCACTAAGACACTGGAAAGGAAAATGATGTGAAAGTTGCCCTTATGAATTCCATTACAGCTAAAAATTATTTTATTCTTTCTTTGTTTCATCCCACACTCACTCACTGAATGCCAACTATGAACCAAAGCAAGAAGCTTCAGGCCTGCAGTGAGAGATCCATGGTGGCCGGGCAGGACACCCTGGTCTCCCTTCAGGGAGGGTTACAACACAGAGTAGACAGTGCAAAAGGGGTGTCTGTGCTCTGGCCGAGGGCTCAGGTGGTAGGAGCATCATCCTGACACCAAGAGGTTATGGGTTCAGTCCCTGGTTGGGGTGCAAACAAGAGGCAAATGACTGATGTTTCTCTCATATTGGTGTTTTCTCTAAGAATTTTTTTTCTTTTACATTTTTTTAATTAAATTATTATCTGTGTACATATTTTAACATTGCTCCCCCCTCCCATATTCTAAGAATTAATAGGCATATCCTTAGTAAGGATTTAAGGGAAAAAAAGAAAAAGAAAAAAAAGAGGCATTTGTTTTCTTTTGTCATGCCAATTCATTTTTTCCTCACTATTTCTTATACTGTAAATGACAGACCTATAAAAATTCAGGGTTACTCTTATCTAGAAGGGGGTTGATAAAATTCAGAGTAGGGAATAACAGCACAATTCATTAAAACCTGAGCAAGTTCTCTGAGCCGGACACTCACATACCTTGAAGTACACAGTTCCCTTCTCCTTGACGATGGCAGCCTGCTCCAGCTTTTCTTTGGTGTCCATCTCCCAGGATTCTTTGGCCTGATATGTAAATGTGTGACAATGGTTAGGTGAACAGAGAAGGAAAAAGCATCAGCTGATGCCCATAGAACAAGCAGTAGCTCCTTGTAGAGGCCACCCACACCCCAAACACACTGGCTTTTAAAACCGTGCCACTGCCCAAGTGAGTTCTAGTCACTGCCAGGCTAGAACTGGCTTCCTAACGACAGCTGCTCAGGAGGAAGGAGCAGAAGGCATGGGAGGCTGCAGCAGAGCACATCTGGAGAGGGGTGCGGTGAGGCCACACAGCGGAAGCTCAGTCCCTATGTCCCTCCCTTAAACGGCACCACTCAGTTGCCATTATGACTTCGAGCTGTTTCTCTCGGGCCTTGGTTTTTAACTCTAAAATGGGAACACTACTGCAGGCAAGTCACAGAGAATTTTTAAAATCCAGGTCATGGAGGTGTCTCTTCCACTCTAACGCGACCAGATATATAAAGCTTCCACACCGCATCCACCTGCAGATGTACCCTCGGGGAATGTCAAGCAAAACATAATTGGAGGGTAAAGCTGATGCAAAAACGTAATTTCAAAGCCACAGATAAATGTTTTAATGATCATCTTCTCATTTATATTATGTGTCATTATCGTCCCAAATTAAAGGTATGAATCCAGAAGCAACTGCACTTCCATTATGAACAACTGGGTTTACGAGGATCAGATTCCACAGAACAATCTGGGGTCCTTTAGGGAAAACAAGGCTATGTCAGAGCCACCTGCTGTGTAGGAATTATAAGCTTAAGTGGGTACCTCTGAAATTCTCTCTTCAAGACACTTGGTGGTGTATTCCTGGTATGCCACTCCCGCCCCCCGAAAGTGAATACTGGGAGTTACTAGTCTTTCTGGCAACCCCATGTTGCTTCCTAGCAACTTGCTCTATCCTTTAAAAACCTAGTAACTAGGGTCCTTTGCATTTTTATGTGTTGCCAGAACAGCACACCCTTCTTCACATGCTTTCAATAAAGCAAGCGGGGCTCATGGATACACGTGGCGATGACAGATACAGCTCACTGTGGGCAGAGGAATGCCAGGAAGCAATGTCCACCGGGCTCTGGCGGGAAGGGACAGGGAGCTACTTCACTGGAGCAGGAACGGGAAAGTCAAAGGTCCACATAACCACATGCAGGGGTGTTCTCTCTAACGATGTGGAGGCAGAGCTGCAGGATCAGTGCTGAGCTACAGGCTGTCCAAAGAGGTTCTGTGACAAGCAGCAACGGTCAATGACGAAAGCACGTCAGCCTTGAGGAACATGAGTGTGAGGTTTGATCAGCAGCATCACTGCTAGGGGAGAATCCCAAAGCAGGCCTCCTTGTCTTTCTTAGCCCAAAGCTACAGGGCTACTGGACTGACAATGGTCTGCTTTCGGAATCTAGTGAAAGATCAAGTCTGTGTCCAGTCCAAAGCCGAGCCCGGGGGTGTAAGAAAGGCACCCCAAACGCAGGCTCCAGGGAAAGGTGGGCTGTGCCTGGTGCACAGGAGCTCAGCTGGGCCCACAGGATGCCTAGCTCGGGCACACGCTCTGTGCTTGTCCGGCGAGGCTGCTGCCGGGAGCTCCCAGGGGCGGCCTGAGGTGGAAATATACTCAAGAGACATGCCGTTTTTGTCCTCAAGGCCACTGACAGACTCTTTTCCTACTTGGACAGGTATGAAAAGAAAAGGCCTGGGGTCAGCAGGTTGTCCTTGTGTTTCTTGTCACAGAGCCTGTGGCCACGAAGCCTTGCACTTTTGGACAGTAACCTGGAGCCCGCTGAGGGCTCTTCACCACTCCTGAGAAGGGTACAATCCGTTCAGCCCTGGAAAATGGTGCCCCTCCCCCAAGGAGCGGCTTGGCAGAACGTGAACCTTTTTGTCTTCAACCCAGGAAAAAAAGTACAAAAAGAACAAGTCTAGGAACAAATAGGGAACAAGTGTTGGATTCCACCCAAAAGGTTTTTTTTTTTTTTTTTTTTTTAAAAGGGCTGACACGTAGGAATAAACTCTGAACATTGCGCTCTGTAGCTGTGGGTCAGCCATGCTGGCTCAGGGGTCCCAGAGACAACATGCAAATAAGACCACTGACCTACTCCACCCAGAAATACATTCCATAGTTCATAGGAAGTGGGCAGAGAAGAAATATACCATGATTTCAGAGAAGTTGGTATTTTCTCACCTTTTCGAAGCTCTTAAGTGTAACTTCATATATAAGCTCAGCATTAGGTTCAATGCCAAATTTAGGCTTCCCTGCCTCTCCAAAACCATATCTGAAATGGAGAGTAGAAAAATAAAACTTTACAAGAATTGGTGTATTTCCAGGCACTTCCTTTAACACTTTGTGGCATCACAGGAGTGCAGAGCTCCCGTCTACAAACTATACAGACCAGAGCCCCGAGGGAAGCCTGACGCTGATCAGAAGACCCTGCCAGGTGCCCCTGAGGCTGCAGAAACCAGGCCAGCCCGCGCCTCCTTCCTTCTTCACATCCCTGTGCAATTGCGACACCTGTTCTCCCTGGGACAGCTTGCTTAATGTGGCCTTAATGTCACTGCCCTTTTCTCTGCTTGATTTTTTATCGAGTTCTTTTGATGAAACAGCCTTCATGTAGCTACTAGGACCCTCCCCGAGGCCTCATCAGCAGGAGGGTGGGAAGACGGCACTGCTGTCTCAGTGCTAGGCCACAGCGCTGTGCATTAGAGGCTGAAGAAGCTTTCAGCTGAAGTGCTGTCTCCGTCAAATAGCACCGCTTCCAGTCAGATGAATGGGAGGAAAGGCTCACACAGCAGGGGGAAAATGCATTTTCACAGTGTTCAATAGTTTTAAAGAGCACACTAACAAATACAAGTGACATAACAAATATATAACCAAAAAGAACAACCTTAGCAAGTTCTAACCCTCATAAAGACATACTTTCCCCCTGGCTGGTGTGGCTTAGTTGGTTGAACATTTTCCCATACACTGAGGGGTTGCAGGTTGGATTCCCAATAAGGGCATGTCCTACGTTGCAGGTTTGATTCCCAGTACAGGTGCATACAGGAGGCAAACAATTGATGTTTCTCTTTCTCCCTCTCTAAAAATCAATGAAAATATATTTGGGGGGGAAAAAAAGAAAAGAAAAAGCAATATTCTTACAGCTCTGTGGCTCGTACACTAAATGCTACAACTTTTAGCCAAAATCTTACTGGACAAAATCACTACAGACATAGAAATTTGATTTTCAGATCAACGTAGGATCTTAATAAATACAAGGCGTTCAGGGAGGACACGTCTACCAGAATGAAGTGCTGACGGAGCTTCGTCTATTTGGTTCAATGGTTTCCCAGCATTTTGAACAACACCCAGCGTATTAAGAAAGCACGCACTGGAATATATTCTGTTCTCATCTACCAGTATTTCAAGCCAGACTACTCTTTAATATATGGAAGGACTTTGTGAAAACCTTAGTAAACCCAAACTTTCAGGCTAGGGGCTGAAAGATGCCAAGCCAGGTCGATGCCAATGACTTCTCTGGGGCAAAAGATTCAGAGTGAGAATATACAAATCCTGCTGCTTGCATTACTCTCTTTACCCCTTGCCTGAATTTTCCCGGAAGAAAATGATTACTCACTCACCTCCACTGTTACAACACAAGTAAATGGAAGCTGGAGCCAGAGCAAGGCCATGAGAGCTGGTAGGAATGGGGTGTGATCATAATAGCAGGGCAAAGGGTATCTTCAGCAAAGAAATAAGAGGACGTAATTGCTAGTGGCCAATTATAGGAGGTGGTGAGCTCGTAGACCTATGCTCTACCTGAGCTCCTAGACCTATGCATCTGCTATTTTGTTCCTGCCCTCTGGTAAAAAAAGAACATTCCGTAACTGCTGGGAACCGGGCTGGGGGAAGAGTCCTTGCTGAGTGGGTTTACCGACAGCATGTTATATTTGGAGCCCTGTGCTAACAGGTACAAAAACAACAGATGACCTGCATGTGCCTCAAACCACTGGTTCTCAATGGGGATGGGTTTAATCCTCCCACCCCAGGGATATTTGGCAATATCTGAAGATGGGTTTATCACACAGAGGAAGGGGTTGTTGGCATCTAGTGGGTATAGGCCAGGGAAACTGCTGAACATCCTACTACAATGCACATGTCAGCCCCACAACCAAGAAACTTCCAGCCCAAGATGTCAGTAGTGCTGAGGATGAGAAAAGCTGCCTCAGTGGAACTCACAAATAGAGGTCTCCTGGCCGGGGGTGGGCGGAGTGGAGGTAGTGTCAAGGGAGACACCAAATTGTCCTGTTTTTTTTTTTTTTTTTTAATTAGTGGGATTAAGGAAGACTGGGGAAGGGCATTATTCCTATAACCTCTTCTGGGTTCAGATGAAGAGATTCTGTGGCGATGTGTGTGGAGCAGTGTCCTGGGAGGAGCACCTAGCTGGGCTGCCATGTTACACAGAAAGCTGTCTGTCTGACGCTACACCATCCTGACAGGCTAGGACTCCAGGCACAGAAACACATCTCACTGAAGACAGACACCACAAGTGGGATTCTGGGACTTAACCAAGAGACAAGCTGTGCTACAGTAACAGAAGGAATGTTATTAATGGGTTTGTTCTTTTTTCTTTCTTTTTCTTTTATTGTATCTATGTGAGAAGATGGAATTTAGCAGAACGTATTTCACAATATATGTAATTCAAACCATCATGCTGTATGCCTTAAATTTGCTGTATGCCAATTATTTTTCAATAAAACTGGAAAAAATATACTTCTATTTGGTGAATTGGAAAGACCACAAAGCAAACTTTAATAAATCCCAAATAAATAAAAATAAATAATAAATATAATATTCTTGGATCACAATTCAGTAAAAACACATTTTTTAAAAGTCAGAAGGAAAAAGTCCTCCTGGCTAAAGATGTTAAAATCTTAATCTTAAAAAAACTGTTGCCAAAACTGGTTTGGCTCAGTAGATAGAGCGCTGGCCTGTGGACTAAAAGGTCCCAGGTTCGATTCCGGTCAGGGCATGTACCTTGATTGCGGGCACATCCCCAGTAGGGGGTGTGCAAGAGGCAGCTGATCGATGTTTCTAACTCCCTATCCCTCTCTCTTCCTCTCTGTAAAAAGTCAATAAAATATATGCTAAGAAAAAAACAAAAACAAAAAAACTGTTGATGCAGGGGTACTTCAAATAAATATAAAATTTGTAGAAAAGAATGACAAAGGAAGGGTGATGTGGCTGGGGCTCCACTGGCCTCACTATGTCTGCCATTTTATTTTTTAATTTTTTAACAAAAATATTTTTTATTGATTTTTTACAGAGAGGAAGGGAGAGAGATAAGAGAGCTAGAAATGTCAACGAGAGAGAAACATCGACCAGCTGCCTCTTATACACCCCCTACCGGGGATGTGCCCGCAACCAATGTACATGCCCCTGACCAGAATCGAACCTGGGACCTTTCAGTCCACAGACCGACGCTCTACCACTGAGCCAAACCAGTTTCGGCTATGTCTGCCATTTTCAATTTTCAGAGTCTGTTGACTGTAATCTTGCTGCTTATATGTACCTGTGCTTATATCCGATCCTTGGCACCCAGCCTCCTGGACAGAAATAAAACTGGACTGTTGGGCATATAAAAAAATCAATATAAACAAACAAACAAACAAAAAAAACAAACAAAACTGAACTGTTGGGCATATTTTGGAAGTGTGCCAGAATTGGTGAAGAGTCCTTATGTTGCAGTATGCTGTATAGTGATGGCCTTCAGCATCCTATTCATGCAATAGCTTGGAAAAACACCTGAATTTAATTGTCATCAAATTTCAATATAAAAATGGGACTTATCTGCAGAAAACGATGCAAAGAATGTATAAGTTTGTTTCAACATTGAATGAGATAAATTCCTAGCTACTGTTCTCTATTTTGTTATTGGACCAATGTTCTATATAATTAAGATGTACTAATCATTTAATACTCAAAGAGTTTGTAGCAATCAATCTCAGTACTGTCACTACAATATTACATTCTGCAATTGTCATTTTGTTGTGTCCAATACCAGTTTTTAGTGAGGTATCTCCAAGGCACATAGTAGAAAAATTTGGTAAATTATTCAAGTTTCTTTCACTGTGACTTGGAAGTGATACATCTTTACAGAATGAGACCGTATATTGAACTAGCTTTTTTATTGGGAAAAAAGGGGTTCAATTTGTGTTGCTAAGGGTTGCATTCATACTTAATAATACTTGCTTTACCTTTGGCCACACCATTTTGAGCATTAATCAGAGTACCTCTGCTCTTAACGAACTTTGTAGTTTATAGCAGTTTTTAAAACTATTTAAAATAAGCCTATGCAGTTCTAAGGAGAAAGATAAATGAGATGTGACTTGAGTAATAATGAGAAAGTGTTCATATTTAATGTGAAAGGATTTAGAATAGCTGATCGGTGCAGTCGCTTCTACAGCCTCTCTGGTTAAGTATGGATAAATGTCTTAAGTATAAATCTGACCAGCTGTCATTCTCTAAGTAAAATTACCGTACATTCTTAGAATAAAAAGAATAAAATAGAACAATTACAAAATGATTAAAAAAAAAAAGAGAAAGAAAAAAGAATGACAAAGGAAACAGTATATGTCAGAATCTCTGAGATACACACAAAATGCTACCCAGGGGGGCATTCATATATTTTTAAATATCCAAATTCTAATTTTATTCCTTTTCTATATTATTCATGTAGTAATTTGTAGTACTTCTTGATACACCTTACTATGTATTTGCTCTCACATGCACTTACAAGTACTTAAATCTATATATATAAAAGCCTAAGTGACGGTTGCAACCGAAACAACTGAGCAGTCAAACGTACAGGCTGCACTGGGTGGCCAGGCTGGCAGGAGGGTGAGTGAGGGATGAGCAAATGACTGAGCAGCAGGCTGCATGGGATGACCAAGCCGGCAAAGGGGGCAGTTGGGACTGACTAGGCCAGCAGGAGTGGGAGCAATGAGGGGCGACCAGGCTGGCGGCGAGGGAGGGGGCAGTTGGGGGTAACCAGGCAGGCAGGAGCCAGTGGTCCCAGATTGTGGGAGGGTGTCTGATTGCCGGTTAAGGCCTGATCCTGGGGATCAGACACCCCCCAAGGGGTCCTGAATTGGAGAGGGTGCAGGCTGGGCTGAAGAGACCCCCTCCCCACACCATGCATGAATTTAGTGCACTGGGCCTCTAGTATACAAATAAACAGGTATTAATTTGCAGTCTTTAACTATAGTTTTAAAATATAATTAAGTTAGCAATAAAGTAACACAATGTTGATGACCATGTTCTAGAATAGTTGCCTATAGAGATACAAATAATGACTATTAATGACCATTAGTCTTATTTATATACAAGCACTTATTCCATAAGTTCTTACCAACTGCAGCCTTTTTATAGGCAAGAAAACCGAGGCTCAGATAGAAGTATTTCCTGAGAGTTACACAAAGAGGAGTGTAGAGCCAGTTTTTAAATTCAGACTCTGTATGTTCCCAGAAAATGGTTTCGTTTTTGACCCAGATTGCCTTGTTTTTGTTTGGGGTTGGTGCAGGACAGAAATATAAGGAAAACATTAAAACTAGCCATCCTTAAACTAAAATGAAAAGGTGATCAGTCACAGTATTTAAAACAATATACAAGATACTGTCCTGATGAGAAGAGAAAAAATAGATTCTTTGGAAGTGTTTTATAAACTTCTTATAAAAACATCCCGTCAAATAGTCCACCAGAATGGAGGAGGAGGTATGCCCTGGAAATCTTTAGAGAAGGGACTATAGGTGACAGGAAGTAACACAGAGCGTGCATTTGCAACAGCCACATTTACAACGCTCAGGTGCAGTGCTGCCCAGGCCTTTCTGCATACGGGGACAACGCCCCCCAGTGCACGTGTGAACATCTCCTTTTGCACAGCAGGCCTTTACGTAGCTCAGCATACTAACTGACATCTTGAAGAGAGATAGAACATATTCCTTTAGAGGGGTTTATATGTGTCAGGCACTTTGCTAAGTTCTTTACATGCATTATCTAATTTAGTTCTCCACAATTTTATGAGATTCCATCTCTCCCACTTTACAGAAGGGGAAACTAAGGCTGAGGAGAATTAAGTGACTTTCAGAAGTACAGAGAGCTTACTAATGATACAACAAAAATTTAAACTTGCAAGAAACTATTTTCATTAATAAACATAAGGATAATTTGTTTCTCTCTGACATTCAAGTTGAGACATCTGCCTCTACTAACAAAAGGATTCAAAGAATATCATATGCTCACAGAGTATAAAGAACTTATCCTCAAGGAACTGAAACCTGCAAAGACACACGGGACATAAATACCACTCTCTTTATAGAAATTTTGAATTACTGTAATTTTAGAATGCCAGATTAAAAACCATTAGATATTATCTAGATATGGAGGAGAAAGCCTTTTCTATGCATTGCTTGATTTAAAAAAATCATTATAGAAGGAGAAATAGGTTCACCTGAGGGTGAACTACAAATGTGACGTAAATATTAATAAGAGACACTGAAGTGGGAATCCATTAGTGGAGAAAGGAATATGACAGAGGAAAAGAAGGTATTAAATAAAAGGTGCCTCCAGTGAAGGCTGTAACAAGGTTCAAGGTCCAAGGTGGTGAGCATTTTGGAAGGGTTTTCAGGTGAGTATGGCATGGTTAAAGCATCACTGGAGAAATAGGATCATGGCCCAAGTATTAGGGCAAAGGTAAATATGCCACTGATGACTACTGAGGCTGCACAAAGGCAAGTGATTATACAACAGGCGCAATATTACCTATTGGTAAGTCCATTTCATCAAGATTCTTAATTTCTCAAAATCCTACTGATTGAAACCCAAAGAGCCAGAGAGGGAGTAGACATGAGATAAGCAGATGCACTTACAGGCAAACAGAATCAAAATACCCTGGTTTCTCTCAAGGGCCCATTTCTCAAGATAGAAGGGTTGGGTCCATGGTATAATTTTAGATCTAAAAATAACACCAAACATGTTTTCACAAGAGAGACTGTTAGTGTCTGATAATTCTAAGCTTGGAAGTGCTAATGGGTATCCTTATTATGGGAAAAATTTAGGCAAAAATGAGTCATCTCTGCTGCCTTTAGGTCTAGGAAGAGCACTTGTTTTTTTCAGGGACTCTGTATAAGAACAGGGGGCACAAATTCAAGTGGTAATAAGTCATCCAAATGCCTCTTCTACTTCCAACCCACCATGTTTTACTGACTCATTTGGAGAAAAGGGAACATGGGGCAAGAAGATCACATGAGAAGTCCCAATAGCTTCCTGTCTTGGCAATATGGCAGGCAAAACAAATAGACAAAAAGCAAAACTTGTCTGTCAGTCCTATGAACACACATCAATCAAGTAAACAAGGTCCATAAACCTTTGTTATGTAAGGCCCAGTAATTCACTCCATCGCTAACTATAACTTGATTTAACTGTTTCTGTTAGCATTAACTTCACTGAAAATATCAAATGTTGACCGAAAGGCAAGCATACCCCTGTTCTTCAGACAATGTCACTGTGTACTGAACTGGTATGCTGCTTACCGTGGTCCAAGACATAAAATACATTGTTCTTCCCGCTGCATTTTCTCCAGGGCTTTGTCAATTCCGATTGGAATGTCGTGGTCTTCTCCTTCGCCAACAATGAAAACCACATCTCTGCAATCAAAAATTCTTTCACCACAGCGGCCTTCCAGGTGGACTGAGGGAAAGGAGACAGGCAGTCAACCAAGCTGCTCCTCAGGACTGGCAAACTTAGGAAAGTGATAAATGCTTCCCCTTCTCACTTCATCTAGAGACATAATGGTATGTGTGTGGAAGCTTAGTCTACCCAGTCTGAAATTTAAGAGCAATCATGTTTCTTCCTGTTTTAAGCTTAAACTTTGAATTACTGATAACTAATCAATATGATAGCTTAGTGAATAATAAAAGTGTGGAAAATAGGTTTAATTGAAACCTACTAAATGGCAGAGGTTTCCTTAGAGCAGTGGTTCTCAACCTTCCTAATGCCATGACTCTTTAATACAGTTCCTCATGTTGTGGTGATTCCCAACCATAAAATTGAGAACAGCAGTGGTTCTCAAGCCTAAGATAATTGGAAACACATATATTTCGATTACGATTCATTCATTACAGTTATAAAGTAGCAACGAAAATAATTTTATGGTTGGGGGTCTCCACGACATGAGGAACTGTATTATTTTTCCCCCATTTTTTATTAAGGTATTATATGAGTACATATCTTACCATTGCCCGCCCTCCACCCCACTCCCATACATCCCTTCACCCCCCCCCCCGAGTTTTGCGTCCATTGGTTATGCTTATATGCATGCATACAAGTCCTTCGGTTGATCTCTTATTTCCCCCAGATCTCCCTAACCTTCCCGCCGTAATCTGACATTCTGTTTGATGTTTTACTGTCTCTGTATCTATCTTTTCGTTCAACAGTTTATAATTTTCTTTACTATCCATAAATGAGATCATGTGGTATTTTTCTTTCATTGACTGGCTTATTTCACTTAGCATGATGTTCTCCAATTCCATCTAGGTTGCTGCAAATGGTAAGAATTCCTTCTTTTTTATGGCAGCATAGTATTCCATTGTGTAGATGTACTATAGTTTTCTGATCAGTGATCTGCTGATGGGCACCCAGGCTATTTCCAAATCTTAGCTATTGTAAATTGTGCTGCTATGAACATAGGGGTGCATATATCCTTTCTTATTAGTGTTTCCAGTGTGGGATTACTGGGTCAAATGGGAATTCCATTTTCAATTTTTTGAGGAAACTCCATACTGTTCTCCACAGTGGCTGCACCAGTCTACATTCCCACCAGCAGTGCACGAGTGTTCCTTTTTCTCCGCATATGAGAAACAGTATTAAAGAGTCGCGGCAGCTGAAACCGGTTTGGCTCAGTGGTAGAGCGTTGGTCTGCGGACTGAAAGGTCCCAGGTTCAATTCCGGTCAAGGGCATATACATTGGTTGTGGGCACATCCCCAGTAGGGGGTGTGCAAGAGGCAGCTAGTTGATGTCTCTATCTCTCTCCCTTCCTCTCTGTAAGAAAAATCAATAAAATATTTAAAAAACAAAAGAGTCATGGCATTAGGAAGGTTGAGAACCACTGCCTTAGAGCAGCGTTTTTCAACCGCTGTTCCGCGGCACACTAGTGTGACGCGAGATGTTGCCTGGTGTGCCGTAGGTGCAGACAAGACAAGAATTTTATAATTTTTCACTATTTTGTTTACTTAATATTTCATAATAAATTATAAAATACTTTCTTTGTGTTTATTTGATTCCTATTCAAGAGAATTACTTTATATTGTATATAGTCAATATAGGCACAGAGTTAAATTTTTTAACATTTTCTAATGGTGGTGTGCCTCGTGATTTTTTTCATGAAACAAGTGTGCCTTTGCCCAAAAAAGGTTGAAAAACACTGCCTTAGAGGATCAAGAAATATTATGTTAATGAATAGATAATTATCAAAATGCCACCAATTTAGTATCAAATATGTAATGGCTTAAACATTTAGAACTGTACTTTGGCTTTGGATACTAGGATGAAAAACAACTGAATGACCATTTTCATTGACATACAAAGGTTACTGAATATAGAAGCTCCTCTTTTCCTTTAAGGGTTTTGATCTCATTCACAAATATTTATATTGTGAAGGTGCATGACATCCGTGCACGAGGGTTTGGGGGGACAGGTGTCCCTCACTCTGACCTACAACCTCTTGAAGTCCAGGGCCTTCAGGTAGGTAGGGTCCCTAGGCCTGGCTGGAGACCAGGGCCTAGTGGAACTTTCCTTCCCCCGGCTGCCAGCAGCTGGCCCCACCTCTGCCGCTGCCATTGCTTGCCATCTGTGGGGTGTGATCGCTTGGCTGCCCTGGGCCTCCCTCTGTGGGGTGATCGCTGACCAGCCCAAACATCCACCACAGTGTCGCTGGCTGGTGGCCTGGACCTCCCTCTGTGGGGCAATCAATCTCAGGGCCCCAGATCGACTGCCCACCCACCCGCCACAGCACCACTGGTCTGGTAGCCTAGGCCTCCCTCTTTGGGGCAATCAATTGCAGGGCTCCGTTATCAATCGCCCAGCAGCAGGAGGCCCCGCCCACCTGGCCAGGGCTCTGTGATAGACTGCAGTGCCGAGGGTGGCCTGGGCCTTCCTCTTTGGGGTGATTGTGAAGCACCTATGCCCCCACTGATTGACTCGCTGGCCAGTAGTCTGGGCCTCCCTCTTTGGGGTGATTGTGAAGCACCTAGGCCCCCACTGATTGACCCGCTGGCCAGTAGCCTGGGCCTCCCTCTTTGGGGTGATTGTGAAGCACCTATGCCCCCATTGGTTGACCCGCTGGCCAGTAGTCTGGGCCTCCCTCTTTGGGACAATAAATCGTGGAGGAACCCCGCGCCCCCCTTTTAATCGCTCTGCAGTGGGTGGCCTGAGCCTCCTTCTGCAGAGTGATGGCGGAGCAACCTGTCTAATCACATTGTACCTGCCTTAGCGTGGCTGTCTGAAAGGTCATCTGGGCAGTTGTTCTGCTATTCGGTCAATTTGCATATTACACTTTTATTATTACAGATCTATTTATATATATAAAAGCCTAAGAGACCAATCAGTAGCTATGATGCACACTGACCACCAGGGGGCAGATGCACTGACCAGTATGTTAGCTTGCTACTGGGGTCCAGCCAATGGGGACTGGGTGAGATAGGCTGGACATGCCCTGGAGTCTTCCAGCAGACCCTCCCTGGTGGGCCAACCTCCCATGGTACTTTCCTGGCCCTGACCGTGCACCAGTGGGATCCCTCAGCTTGCCCGTGCCCTCTTGCAATCTGGGATCCCTTGGGGGATGTCTGCAGGCCAGGCTGTAGGACCCCCATTGGAATATGAATCCGTGTACTGGGCCACTAGTATTTGAATAAAAATGGAAAATCCAATGGCAACATCATTAACAACTAACATAGCCATATTTCTTGGTGTAGAAATAAATGTAAAGTGTGACAATCAATAAGTACTCTACTATACCATCACAAACCAAATTACTTAACCATTGCCTTTAAAATGTTAAGGTGAAGAGGTCAATTTCTTGGTGCCCAATTCTCCACTCCACTCACTCAGCTCGTTTTGAGGGTAATTTCATATTGGTCAAGGGGCTTTTATGGTTTTTCAAGACAAAATAAGAAAAATGCATATTTTTTTCTTGATTAGATTTTTTCCTCCATTAGGATAAGTAATTCTGTCAAACTTTTAGCTACTTATTTTTTTAAAACCGTGTTATTCATTCCTTACCATTTAGATTAGGGGTGTCGAACTCAATCAGAGAAGGGGCCAAAATCTAAAATCCAGCCTAAATCGCGGGCCGAATGGTTTACTGAACAGTCATAAACTGTCATTGTGATGGAAACGCAGCGGAGTGCAGTGATGACAGCGCGGTGCAGGCCACATTGCAAGGCCTGGCGGGACGGATTTGGTCCACGGGCCTTGTGTTTGACACATGTGATTTAGATCTTAGACTCAGTAAGAAAAAATCGATTGTTTGTATCATTGCACAATATATTTTGTCTTTCATAAGAAAATTCTTTATTCCTACTTCTGTAATCTAATGGCCTAGATTAAAATGTAACGATTTCCTAAAATGCTCACTTTTTTTTTTTTACTGGTTGCTCTGTTGTCTATCAATAACTTGCTTTAGAGACTTAAAAAAAAAAAATCACTCATTCTGTTATAGTCATTTCATGAGACAATTATTTTCCAAATACAAATTTAATTCCAACTTACTCTACTTTTGAACTACATGACTTCCAAGGTCCTATGAAGCTCTAAAATTCTATGATTCTGTGACCCAGTAATATAACTGTCAATATAGGCCACAAATCAGTTTCAAAGGTAATTATCAGTTACTTTTAGCCTGGGCCTGAGAAATGAGAGAAACCCTGAAGACAACAGTTCCATAGACACGAGGAGCCACAATGTCTCACAATTATGCCTTTCTAATTCACTAGGATTAATACCATCCTGATTTGTTCCCATTGCAGACTTAGGATGGAGTCAAAGCTTGACCAAACTAGAAAAGACCTGACACTCAGGGTACAGCTGGCATATAGGAATTTTGCTCTTTGTCCCATACTCATAATTGCTGATAATTCTATTCCACTCATTTTTGGAATGCTCTAGATAAAATGTAATCAACTTGCAACACATTGAAAGTTTTTTTGAGTTGGAAAATATCTGCAAGATAAATTCAACTTTATTATTTTCAAATATATACATATACTATAAGTTTAGATATTTTTACTAGAGTAAATGCTGATGTTTCTAAAGTTGAGGGTTCTGAAAAGTTTGTGTTATTTTTAAATCTGCCCAAGAAGTTGAATTTAGAATAATGCGACGACACTTTTCCTGACAGATTTGCTGAGTGAGCAAAGTGAGGTTCAGCCCACGTACTATGGGATTCCTCAAGCATTGAGATTACCTTAGTAGCTCACAACTGAGCTGACAAATCTTTCTGTCTGAGGTTTATTGTTAGAAGTATCTTCCTCCCTAAAGGAGAGTACATTTGTGGGGGAGGAAACTATCAGTACATTCATTGTGGTTTTTGGTTGATCAAGTTTAAACGTGTTTTCAAAACAGGAAATGCAGAGACTGCAAGGACTCCTGTGTGTCACGTCCCAGGCCTGGTTTGGGGCTCGATGCATGTATTAGATATTAAAATTACATAAGTAACTCCAGAAGTTCTCCTTACATGTGATATCCCATGATATTAGGAAAAAAAAGATTGGCTATTAATAAGTATGTTGGGAAAGGTAAGTAAAGCAAACAAGCAAAAAAAAAAAAAAAAAAAAAAAGTTCAAGTCAAATGATAATGAAGCCATAATTAAGAAAGCAAAATGAAAACAAAAAAACAAAACCAAACCCATAAACAACCCCACATTCATTACAGCTGGCCTAAGACAAGCCTATCTAATAAAAGGGTAATATACAAATTAACCATCACTGTCATAAAGATGGTGGTGCCCAGTCCCCTCCGCCTTGCCGGAGCCCCCTGTCCTGGGGGGCCGCCACTGAGAATGGGCAGCTGAGCGGCCTGGCAGAATGCCAGCTTTGTCACTGTGGTGACGGAGGGACTCTGAGGAGTGGGTGCAGGGCAGCTGGGACAGGACGCTTGCTTCGTCACTTGAGTTCGCCTGGTTGCGGAAGGCCGCTGGGGGCCAGGGGAGCTGGCCCGCAGCCTCCATGGCCAAGTGTAGGCCCAGGGAGGAGACGGTGGGCCCGCCTCCCGTGGAAGCAGTGCGGCTCCCGGTGGGGCACTGCGGTTCCCATAGAAGCAGCGGGCAGCCTACTGTGCGAGACACAGCGCGAAGGCCTACTAGTAAACGATAGAACCAATGTTCGTTTCTGGTAAATCGCACTCTTCTAGGCTGGACTGAGCAAGCACGACAGACAGTACCGTAAAATCTGAAAGTGACCTGTGTGTGAACACCCCCTCCCAGTTTGTATCTATATATAAAACCATCACTTTTAATACGATGCTATTGGAATGCTAGACAAGAGGAGGTATTATAGCCTCAGAGAGTATATAGCCCATTGATTCTTTACATCTATAAGTAGCAAAGGCTATGGTTTCTTAACTGGCTTCTAAACTTGGAGCACGGTGTGACGAGTTCTACAGGACTGCTGACCCGCGCTCACACACCACCTTGGAGCCACAGCAGCCACACAAGGTGTGCCTATGGCTACGGTGGGGGCTCCCTTCGCGGTGACAGAGGCAGACATGCCTCTCCTACAGAGCCAGTTACTATTTTTTAAACTGTCTCAACAATTGCTACTAAGGACTACTCTGGCAGCTCTGGCTGTGGAGGACCTGAGGTTGCTTATGACCTTGCATTTCTTAATGCAAATACTCACTTAATAAATATTTAATAATAACCACCATGACTCACTGGGAGCTCAACCCCTGGGGCTCAGGAGGTCTGTGGCTAATTCCAACCAGTATAATTTATGGGAAGTAAACGATCTACGACATGCCCAAAGAGAAGAAAAGTACATACAGGATGCTTCTACTTAGGGCATTTTTGGTAGGGAAAGAAATACATTAGTAAAAAAGGGACACTTTCTTTTGTCTTAAAGTCTATGCAACTTAAAGGGGAGTGGGTGGGGGGGAGATCCTCCAAACCCCCAAAGTCAAAGCAAATCAAATTACTCGAGTTGGCTATGCAATCCGAATTGTTGGCTATGCAAACCACATCAAGTGAGCCCCGTCTGCTGCAAAACATCACTTAAGCTGGAGCTCTGACTTATTGTTCTCTGACTGCCCTGGAGCAATTTTGTTTTGAAGAGCACAGAACACCCTGTTCTGAATGTGGCTGGCACATGAACTCAATGTGCTGACAGCAATTTGTACTCGGATTAAACTGTGTGTGTGTGTGTGTGTGTGTGTGTGTGTGTACACTGTAGTAACAAAAACTGGAATGCAAAAACTGTATAATTTGTATTTTAGGAAGCAAAAGTGAGAAAGGCTCCACAACCTAAAAATAAAGTGCTGTAAACGCTCCAGCCTAAAGACGTAGCTCTGGTGAGTGTCTGTTTTCCCTTTTCTAATTATAGTTGTTGGTGTCTGATAGCTTTGCACGCATTCCCAGAACAATTACTGGGTCCTGGGGATCTAACTGGGAATGTTGTAATAGTATTACTACTAGACAAGACCGGTCCTTTGGCCAGAGAAAACCAGGTTGTGGCAGGTTACTGCCACTTGCCAAGGTTTTCTTCTCTGTGGCCTAGTTCATGCCAAATGAGTTTCTCTCTGCCCGTGTCTCCTGCCTAATAGAGCAAGAGCACCAGAGACAAGGGGATTTTAACCAGTGAAAAGGTAAACGAGGAAGCAGAGAAGGGATTTATAAAATCAGGAGAGTATATTTAATCACTGATTAGAAGAGGAACTTCCCTTCCCACCAGGCATGGTGGTCAATTTGAGGGCAAACTATTTGAGATGAACAAATACCACTGTCAGATTGCTTACGAAACTGAGGGACAGATCCTAACTGACAGCAGGCTTGGGAGCCGGCTACTTGAATAGAATAAATAACATTTATACAGATGACATATATCTTAGTCTAAACAGGAAGCATACTCAGCAATAAATTCTACACCAACACAAATCCTCACTATTCTACCCGAGTTAGCACTTTAATCAGACTTGGGTTCCAGTCTCAGTTTGCCATTTAACAACTGTGGCTTTGGGCAAATTCACTTAAATTGTCTGACTCAGTTTCTTCATGCATAGCATGGGAGAAATTATATTAGCTAACTCATAATTGTTGTGAGGATTCAATTAAGTACTGAATAAAGCTTCTAGCCCAATACCTGGAATTCATTCATATGTTGGGGTATTTACTGTGTGAGAGCAGTTACATATGGATACACAAAGACAAGCTCAATTAATATTAGCTGTAATTAGTGGTAAATTTCACCATATAAAACATACTTTAGAAGTTGGTAAAGAGGTGGGGATTGGTAAGGTATGTACACATATAATACCTTAATAAAAAAAAGAGGAAAAAAAAAAGAAGTTGGTAAAGGAAACTACTTAATGGCTCCACAGAGAGAGCTATCAAATTGTGAATAAAACTTAGTAGGCAAAGGCAAGTCTTATGTTTCTTTTGTACATCACAGTGCCCAATACACAGTTCAGAGCCAGAAAGAACATTTAATGATTAATCTGAAAACAACAGTATGGAAAATGGTAGTAATTTTTACTCATTTATAGGAATTCTCCTTTTTGATATATTAGTCAGTACTCCTATTTTTAATAAATTCCAAGAGCTATTGAAATTCTTTACTTATATGGAGCTTTTGTCTTTCAATATTATCAAAAGTAAACGGCTGGATGTTTTAGTAACAAAAAAAAGACTATTTTCTACTAATATTTTACTCTACCTTAAAACTTAAAGATGTCTTTTTTAGAAGGAGCTATATAAGTAAAAAATATTTGAAAGAATACTGTCCATTTTAGACAGTGTCACAGTACATTATTTTGTGAAAACATTTTAAAAAAAATGGTTCCAAAAATTTTCTCTCTTCTACTGGGCAAAATTTGGCAGGACACTGATACTTGAAAAGTATGTGAAAAACCAAACTAAAAAACTCAGCCTCTTATCAGGTCTCAACGTGGGTACATAAAACCATTCCTCTATTTTCAATTTTTTGGTGCCATTTTGTTTTTGGTGTTTTATTTACAAAGAGTACACAGATAGGTCTTATTGTCATTTTAACCTTATGAGAATCCTATCCCTATTTTTTATAATCATTGATGATTTGTTTTATTCCTACCATATTATTTTAGGCTTTCTATATAAATTTTTTGTTATTTTTCTTTCATTACTTTTGCTAGATTTATACAAATTTTCTTGATTCTCTACTTCCCTACTCCCTACTGAGTGTATTTGTGAGTTCTACATGCTATTCTTACTAGTATCTACCATTAAATTTAAACAAATCATTTCAATGTATATATAATTTTTATAAATGTTAACCATTAGAATAATATTTCCTGGAATAAGAAAATTGTGAGGAAATTTTGCCTCCCTTCTCTATTTCCCACCAGTGCCACATTTTGTTAAAATGACCTAGAACCTAGCTCCAGACTATTAAACTATTATTATTTTTAACATTAAAGTTCTACCACTTCTGGAATTTTTCAAGATAAATGTATCCAACTTCACCTTTTTTGCTCACTAATGTTTCTTATGCCTGAGTCTTCACTTCCTGACTTTATTGTTTTTGTGACATTTTAGTATATTCTATAGTACTAGAGGCCTGGTGCACGAAATTTGTGCGTGGAAGGGGGGTCCCCTCAACCCAGCCTGCACCCTCTCTAATCTGGGACCACTGGCTCCTAACCACTTGCCTGCCTGCCTGATCACCCCTAACCGCTCTGCCTTGCCCCACACTCAGGACCCAGGATCCCCTCCCCCAGCTGGTTTCAGGCACCCGGGACCTGGGCTTCCCTCCCTCTGGCAGGCCGCAAACACCCAGGACCTGGACGGGCTTCGCTCGGGCCAGCTGCAGCTCAGGGGACATGGGTGGGCGGCTTGTCCCTTTCCCGGGCTGCAGGCCCAGCAGCTGGTGCCTGGGACTGCAGGGACTGTGGGGTGTGCAGCTTGTCCCTCTCCTGGGCCAAAGCCTGGATGGTCCCCAATTCTCTCTCCCCAGTGTTGAGTGTCTGAGTGGATAAGGTGTGATGGCGTGATGACAATTTGCATATTAGCTTTTATTATATAGGATTTTTAATCGTCAAAGAATGTATGAGTCTGCATAATCCAGAAAATTAATTTTATTCTCATACTTAAATGATCATTTGGCTGAGTATAGAATTCTCAGTTTGAAATACTCATAGTTAGACAAATGTTCAAAGCATGGTCTTTTAGTATTTACTGTCTCACACAACAAGTCTGACGTCCTTCTGATTCTCATTCCTTGAAAACAGCTTACTCCTCTCTTTTAAGCTATGGAATTAAGATATTTCACCAGGAACGTATCCTGTATGCCTCTATTAACTGAGACTTTCCATTTTGCTTTTCAACCCTTACTGAGTCCTAATTTTGATAATCATATATTTTTAAATCTTTTTATTTATTGATGAGAGAGAGATTGACTTGTTGTTCCACTTATTTATGTACTCATTGGTTTCTTCTTATATGTGCCCAGACTGGAGACTGAATCCACATCTTAGCCATGGGAATGATGCTTTAACCAAGTGAGTTACCTAGCGAGGGCAATAATCATATTCTTTATTTCCAGAAACTTGATCCTTCCTTTCCTTTCTCAAAGAAGCTGGTTGTTTGACTTATGCATTTAATAACCATTATATATCTCTGAAGATAGTAATTAGTATTTTAAAAGTTCCGTTTCTTCTTAGCTTATCTTGGTTCTTCTTTTTCTTAGTACTTGCTGATGATTTTTTATTGTCTGATCATAATACAGAGGCAGAATTAAGCAAGATGAAATGATTATAATTAGGTGCCTCGCACAGTATTTTTAAGGAGTACATTTCCACAGTAGTGAGGATCCCAGATACTTCCTAGGCATTTACTCTGTGCTGAGCATGATGTGCACAGGAAGGTTGGGGACACTTTTCCATGATGATGTATGAAAAAGTTTTACTTGAAGAGCCAAACACTCTAGCATGTTTACTGTTGTGTAGACCTACTATTTCACTCTCCCTTTACATGTTTTAAAAGTTCAAAAATACTTGACGTCCTCATCTATAGTCCAAGGCCTAACATGTGGGGTCTTCTGAGGCAGATCTCTCTTTTTTAAATATATTTTATTGATTTTTTACAGAGAGGAAGGGAGAGAGATAGAGAGCTAGAAACATCGATGAGAGAGAAACATCTACCAGCTGCCTCTTGCATACTCCCTACTGGGGATGTGCCCGCAACCAAGGTATATGCCCTTGACCGGAATCGAACCCGGGACCTTTCAGTCCGCAGACCAACGCTCTACCACTGAGCCAAACCGGTTTCGGCGGCAGATCTCTTTTTTATTTTAACCTGGCCTTACTGGTTTCAGCCTGAGAGCAAAAGCTATAGCCAGATCCTAGAGTAGGAATTCTCAATCATTGACTGCAAACTAGAATCACTAGGGGAGTTAAAAACAACAACAACAAGACACACACACACTTGTTTGTGCCTGAGGAGTTCCATCCTTTGGGGTTTGAATCTTTTGTTTAACTGGTCTGTACTGGAGCTTGGGCATCATAATCTTAAAAGCTCCCCAGGTAATTCTAAATTCAGCCAAAGAACTACTCTGCTAGAGGTTTACTGGCCCAGCTGTTCCATATTGTTTTATAACAACCCTGAGTATTGCCCCATAGCCTGCTTCGGCTCCCTCACACCAGCTGCCTGTGGGCTTGGAGTTCTGCCCAAGCTTGTTGAGAAGAACGGTATGTACCTCTACAGAGGTCTTCTCTACACCTGTTTTGGGTTGAGTTTCCCAACTCTAGTTTCCATCAGTCCAGTTTCATCTAGTTTACATATTCCAGAATTTTTCATCATTTCTGATCCACTTCTTGTATTCTTCCTGGATTCCAGCACAAATGTGGATTTCTTTCTCTCTTTTTTTGCAATAATTCTTCATCTCTCACTTCAGTGGGATTTGGAAGGAGAAAAGAGGTGAGCGGAAAGGGTACTCCAACAATCTGAATTCTGGAAACTACTCCTGAAATGTTCACATTTGAAATTACTGCCCATTGCTTTCTTTGCATGCGAATGTGGTTGAAAGCACTGTGAAGCAACAGGCAAGAGAGCCAGACCCAGCCAGCACTTCGATGTACTACAAGCACTGAATTTAACAAAGCAGAAGATGTGAGAAAACAAAAGTTGGGAGAAGAGGAGCTAGTGGCTATTTAGAGCCTTAGGTCAGTCAGACTGGATTTTCTATGAAAGCAAAGCTTAAAAGTCACAACATAGCCACTACTGGCAATTAAACTAAAGTGCCATAACTAACGGTCATCATAACAATGTCAATTAGAATACTTTAGCACACAGTGACTGTTTTAAAATGGAAAAAGGACAGTACTGCATAAAAATTACAAGATGGTCATCTTAATTGAGGTAAGGAAACACACGTTGGAACAGTGATTTGTTTATATACTGAAAATGATTTTCTACCATTCCTATAAGTTTTATAAACATTTAGAATTCTATCAAAGAATGTTTAGGGCTATTGGGACCATAGGAACCAAGAAGTCTACCTGCCAGCATCACTGTATAGGAAGGAAGCTGAAGCTCAAGAGGCAAGGTGTGAGAGAGCCAGCTGAAGCCAGAATCCTTCTCCTGACCCCTGGTCTAGGTATTTCTCCAACACACATCTGAGCTCTTCTTCATTTATTCTAAAACTTATTGTGAAGATAACTATCTAAATACTTCAATTACAGTAGTACAGTAATATTATTTGTAACTATCTCCAATTTTAGAACTAATTTGAATTAATTTGCCAGACTCATAAAAATGAAATATGGGTCTACAGTAATATATAAAAATCAACTATTCTAGTTTACAGTTTTAAATGAATTCTTTATTTTCAAATGGGCCTTTTATAATAGTTCATGTTGCCATCCTTGTTTAGTTATTTGATTTTTTCCTCAATGGAAGTGGTCCTGTTTTTTCACACCTCTTTTTATTGTACTTCAGTTCAAAAAATGGCATCTTTCCAATATTTATCCATGCAAAATGCATTTTCTGAGTAAGGCTCTGTTGGTGATGCTAGAAACAAAAGGATAAAGAAGCTTCTAGTCAAGCACTCACTGTGTACTGAGGAAATGGGCAAATGCTGATTGCAATGTTAACTGATAAGCAGTGTACACAGTGGTGCACACGATGTGCTCTCAGAGGAAGAATGACTAGTCATCCAAGACCTCAGTAGTATCCTCACTCCCAACTTGGCAAATGAAAGAATAAAGTAGCCTCAGATCACTCAATAAATGGCAAAGCAGACCTTGAACCGAGGTCTCCTGACATAGAACAAAGTGAACACTCTCATTTAATTCCGATCAAACTAAAATGATGAACTGTTTATCTTGATGACAGCAAGGGAGATGAGTTGAAGAGGCCTGAAGGGCATTATAATCTACTAAGGGCCCAGTGCATGAATTCTTGCACCTTGAAAGGAACTGTGGACCATGGTGGGCACAGGGGTGAGTCTCAGCCCATCCTCCATATCCCCACCGGCCTCTCCAAAAGTGGCCCAGGTCCCCTGTCTGCCAGTAGCCCCACTCCTACCACTCTCATGTGCTGATAGCGCCCTCCCCACCACCTGCTTGCAGATGGTGCGGAGTGATTGGAGCTGGTGTCAGCAGCGGTTGCGAGCGGTGGCTGCTGCCCTGATTGCCCCTCAGGAGTAGAGGGAGATGGAGAAACCCTCAGGGTGATTGGGGCCGGCAGCCATCGCTCATACCCGCAAATGGCATCAAATGATCAGGACAAGTGCCGGGCGTTGTCAGCGGGTGTGAGTGGTGGCTCTGGCACTGGCAGCGGGTGCAAAGAATTTTTAGTAACCACCAGAAGCTCACCCCGGTGACAGTGACCAATGCCTGCCTTGGTCTGGCACCCCTGCTCAACTCCACCATCCCATTACAGCTGATGCCCACCATGATCCACACGTGCCCCCTAGTAGTCAGTGCACACCTTTGCAACTGGTTGTTTGGTTGTTCCACCATTTGGACTATTTGCCTTTTATTATATAGGATTGCTCTGTTTAGTAACTCTGTATGGCAATTTAGAAAACATCTCACTTTTCTCTTCTTAGGATAATAAATCTTACTGTATAAGGTTATTGTGAGGAACATATGAATAAACATATATGGCAACTGATACAGTTGTTAGTATACCAAGGAGTCCACAGAGTAAGAATTCCCTGATGGATGGGATATTGTTCTGTTCACTTTGTGAGTTTGTAGAGCCTGGAATAGTACCTGGCACGTAAATATTTACTAGATGAGATCATTATTACTAAATAAATGTCAAATTTAAATTATTGTTGATATAGATTCACTATATTTATTTCTATAAACAGTTTTAAAAAGAAATCTCCATTTTACCCACATTGAAGAAACCCAACTGTTCAGGAGTATTTTGCTATCACATCTGCTTACTTTCTACTGTGGCTCCCTCGTTTGGGTTTGAATAGCCTTCTCCTTTCTGTTTGATTCTTCGGATAATGCCTCCATCTTCAAATAAATCCTCTCCTTTGAAATCAAGGAGCTCGATCTAGAAAGGAAAAGGAGATTTGGCTGAGAAAAGATCAAACAAAGCCAATTTAATATACTTAAAGACAAGGGCAACCAATTCTCCTTTCATTTTACAAAATAAAACTGTTCTATATTTATCTATGCATCTTAGTTATTGGAAGAGTGGGAAAACAAGAACATTGCACTTTTCAATACCTGGAAAGAACCTTCATGTAATGATAATGTCTGGGACCACATCCTGTGGGGAGTAGAGTAAAGACAGACAGGAAATACTAGGAAAACTGCCTGATGGGCAAAAAGCCAGAACTACAAAGTGCTGGCCAAAAACCATTTTGACTTGAGACACCACCACTTTTCCGTTCCAGATTCATCGAATCTTTTAAACTGTAAGAATAAATCCTATGAAATTAGGCCTGTAACCACTTAAGAGTGTATTTTACCTAGTTACACTGTTTCAGACATTTATCTCCCCCCTTCCCCGATTTTAAAATCAAGTTTGGTCAAATGCGTGTAACTAAACACACAATAACATGTTATCACCCCTACTGTGTTTAATGAGATCTATTACATTTATAAACCTTTATAATATGAAAATACCTTGGAATTTGATTTAGTCCCTGGCTGGTGAGCTAAGTGGTTAGAGCATCAGCCTGTGCCTTGAAGAGTCACGAGTTTAATTTCTGGACAAGGGTGCATGTGGGTGGCAAACAATCGATGTGTGTGTGTGTGTCTCTCTTTCCCCTCACTTCCATCCCTCCTTTTTACTTTCTCTAAAAATCAATGTAAAAAAATGATTTTTAGAGAGTAAAATCCTTATCCTTGGGTAAGGTTTAAACTAAATAAATACAAAAACCAAAAACTTGATTTAGGTATATGTCAACATTTATTTCCCACATTTCCATCCTGTCTTCTGGTCAATTTTAGTATGTCATATGCACACTACTGACCAGAACCTTTATTGTTAAAGCCTGGTCGCTTGTTTATTTGGATATGATCTTTTTGTGCCAGAGACACATTTCTAAGAAAGCACTGGCACACACCCCTTGGATTTGTGGGAAACAATTCAAAAAGTCCTGCTCCAAAAGAAATAAATTGGATCTCATTCTCAATAGCAAGCTTAGCTCCTCGTTCTCCCGCCTGTGGAACCAGCATGTAGCAGAGCAGATGCTAACAAGGCAGCATCTCACACATACTTGCCTCAAAAAAGAGAGTTGCATTCGAGGGAATTTTGGGGACACTGCCAGCTGAGCCATATGCATATTCTGGCTTGCACAGTAAATGACATATCTCTCCTTTCTTCATGGTAGCCACTCCAATGTCCCATGCCTTGATAACTTGGCCTAAGAGAAAGTAAAAAGTGAGAGGCTGAAACCGCAATTATGTTAGGTAGTAAGTTGGTTTGCTGATGTGAGGCTTAGCACAAGTGACTCCATTTTGGACCAGTTGTCTTTTTAACAAAAGCTGTAGGCCATATTTTAAAAAAGTAACTGTCCTAACACAAAAGTTGAAACAAATTTCCAATTTTTTACACTTTATACTCAGGTAGGAAGGGTTATAAAAGAACTCAGTAAAAGCTACAGACCGAGAAATAAGTTCATTTAAAAAATGTTTATTAGTTTTATTAATACTGACTTCAGAGAGGAGGGAGAAAGGAGGGAAGAAAGAAGGGAGGGAGAGGGGGAGGGGGAGGGGGAGGGGGAGGGGGAGAGGGAGAGGGAGAGGGAGAGGAAGAATATCTATGATGAGGGAATCATTGATTGACTGCCTCCAGTACGTCCCACACTGGGAATGGAGCTCAAAACCCAGGGCATGTACCCTGACCAGGAATTGAACTGTGATCTCCAAGTTCATGTATTGACATTCAACCACTGAGCCAAGTTGGCCAGGTGTGATTTTTTTTTTTCAGGCTACCAAAAGATACCCCAATGAGGACAAAAATATCAATTTCCCAACTGCTCAAAGATTAAGTCTTTGAAAAGTAGTAGTAACATATACTTTGAAATGTGTCAAGGTTGCAGTTGTTGTTTAATTTATCATTTCAACCATAGTAACAAGCGAATATTTTCTAGGTAGAAACAAAAATAGAATAGAAAATTGAATTTGCCTTGGCTGGCTATCTCAGTTGTTAAGAATATTGTCCTGATATACCAAAATTGCAGGTTTGATTCCGTCAGGGCACATATAAGATACGGACAATGAATGCATAAATAAGTGGAACAAAATAATGTTTCTCTCAAAATCAACCAATGAAAATTTTAAAAAGAAAGAAAATGAATTTGTCCTAAGGAAGCTTATAATTTAGTTGGGTAGAGAAAAACAACACACAAAAATAACTGGAAAAGAATAAATTATATAAGAGCCTATGATATAGACCTTTTCTTCAAATTTATTAGGAGGGGGAAAAACTGTTCTTTTTTTTTTTCTTTAAGAAAACAAAATGGCCGAAACCGGTTTGGCTCAGTAGACAGAGCGTCGGCCTTGCGGACTGAGGGGTCCTGGGTTTGATTCTGGTCAAGGGCATGTACCTTGGTTGCAGGCACATCCTCAGTAGGGGGTGTGCAAGAGGCAGCTGATCAATGATTCTCTCTCATCGATGTTTCTAACTCTCTATCCCTCTCTCTTCCTCTCTGTAAAAAATCAATAAAGATATATTAAAAAGAAAAGAAAACAAAATGGTATGTGTCCTTTTGTCAAATCACAAGAATTATAAAATTCTGAGTTTTTTTGCCTAATTCGAGAAAACTAAAAGATAATCTTACTGCTCAAGAACTATACTAGTAGGTTATAGAATCATATCTTAAGCAATCTCAAATTCTTTAGGAAACAATAGAAAAATGTAGGTAATTTAAAGGAATAAAATACAAAATTAAGGTGCTATGTCAATAAAAATTTAAATATTTGAAGTGGGGTCAGGTCAACAATGAACCCCAGAGGAATTCTGAAGAGAGCAGACAAGAAATGAGAGCAGTGATAGGATAAGAATAAGGGAAACCCTATACTAAGGTACGTAAAAGGGAAGGGATATAGCATTCGAGGCTCATGACTTCAGTAAGCATTTAACTTTTCAAAATATCATATACATTTATTTTAGTTAAAAATTTATATAACATATGCCTATTACTAAAACACATGTAAGAGATAAACGGTAATCCACTTCCTCCTTGTAAGAAGCATTGATATTTTTGTTTTGTATCCTTCCACTGTGCTGTGGCTTTTTTTAAAACTGAAAACACAAATGACAGTATATACTTTCAGTTTTGAACTGCTTTTTAATTTAATATATAATAGATGCTCATCGACTTACGATGGGGTTATGTATGGATAAACCCACTGTAAGCTGAAAATATGTCGAAATGCATGTAATGCACCTAACCTACAAAATATCACAGCCTAGACCAGCCCATTTCTGCTGATTGCGGATGGGTAAGTCAAGGACCATCGTATCTTGATCCTGTCCGCAGAAAGGAGGACATGGATTTCAGAGGTCCAAGTGCAACCTGCTTCAGCCTCAGACTGCCTGGCTCTTTTTTTTTTTTTAATCAATCTTTATTGTTCATATTATTACAAAGGCTCCTCATTTCTTCCCCCCTCCACCAGGTTCCCAGCCCATCCTCCGTCCCCTCCCCACCCCCCATTGTCCTCATCCATAGGTGCACAGTTTACGTTCAGTCTCTTCCTCCCTCCCTGTCCACTCCCCTCCCATATCGCTGATTCTACTACAATGAACCGCCATTATCATCAGGTTTTTCAATCTCCTTTTTTTTAAATTAATAAACTTTTACACTTCTAAGAATAAATTTTAAAATCTAATAATTTTTAATCCTGGCTGAGGCAGGCGAGGAGCGAGCTGTTCGGGGCCTGGCCTCTGTTGCTCTGGTCCGTTCCACAACCAGCTGCTCCGGGTCTGGCCACTGCCACTCTGACCTGGCTTCTTCAGGCGTGGCTGCTGCTGCTCCGGGCCTGGCTGCACCCGACCCCTGCCTGGCTCTTAATACCAATCTGCCCCTTACTTTACTTGTGCAAGTTACTTAATTTCTGGGTCTCATTTTCCTCATCTGCAAAATAATAATAGATGCTTATACCTGCCATAATAATAGTAATACCTGCCATAATAATAGTAATACCTGCCATAAAGCTATTACAAGAATTATCAAATATGTCAAATGCATGGCAAAGTGCATAAAATGTGCACTTAATATAGGGTAACATCATTACCACTGTCGTGAATACAAACAGACCAATCTTGTTCTCAATGACTGCAGTGCTCCAGTCACTCTCCTATTGGGAAACACAGAGCCAGCAGTACTCTGATAAGGACATTTGTCCGTATGTGTTTGCCTACTTTGTGCAAGTTTATTTGGCGAGTAAATGCCTGAAAGTACAAAGGTTATGTGTATTTTCAATTTGACAGATATTGCTCAACTGCCCTTCTAAAATGGCTACGTCAATTTATACATGCACACATGGTTCTATTGTGAAAATAGCCTAAATCATCAGAAGCAATGTAAAGGCTGCTGTAACAGGCTGCTTTCCGGTCACTGATGCTTTTCAAAGACTTCTCTGTATTAGCGTGGGCCACTGAGAACACTTTTTTAAAACTATGACTTGGTATTTTAAGACAAATACCTTACAAGGCCCTTCAGAAAATCTTTATATTGTGGGGGTTCTATTGTACATTTGTTCAAGACATTTAGCCAATTACTGAGAAGCAAAGGTCTTTCTAGGCACTAATACTTAGGTGGTCATTCCTTCTTTCCTTCCTTCCTTCTAAGGAACATGCAATGTCGTGTGGCCAGTGGAGGAGAAAGACATTTGTACTGTTTTTTTCTTCTCCTTTCAAAAACAAAGTGCAGTAAACACTGAAACAGCCTATAAACAAGGGGCATTCGCCTTGGGGTGAGGGTTTGTATACTGAGGAAAAGCTTAACTCATAGATGGTATGAATGCTAAGCCTTCAGGCTGGAAACAACCTGTCAAATTAATCCACAGGGGCCCCAAGCTAAATAAGTCATGCCTGTGCCTTTGCTTTCGTTCTCATCTGAGAACATTAAAACTTCTTGTCCTGAATAAAACACACGGAGGAAAGAGCCAGAATGATATGCACATAGGTGTTTTTAAGTTGACCAACACTGGGACTCTTTCATAAAAAGCATTTCCCTGATATAAAAAAAAAAAAATAACACATACTCATACAACTTGTGGAAAGTATAAAAAAAAAAATAAATACAATAAAAAAAAACAACCCTCTGAAACCTCGGCATCTAGGGTAAACTGTCCATTTATTGGTTTATTTCCTTCAAATTGTACAGGGTCGGGTAAGAGTGGGTTTGCAGTTTTGAGCATGCAAAACAAAGCCTATTCTTATATTATTATTGTTGCATTATTTTCCATACAAACAACTATAAACCTACTTTTGCCCCACCTTGAATGTAGACTTTGCATAGTAAATATTTTTTAAATATCTTTATTGATTTGTGAGAGAGGAAGGGAGATGGAGATAGAAACATCACCGATGAGAGAGAATCACTGACTGCCTCCTGCATGCCCCACACTGGGGATCAAGCTCACAACCCAGGCATGTGCCCTGACTGGGAATTGAACCATGACCGCCTGGTCCATGGGTGAATGAATGCTCAACCTCACAGAACCACACTGGCCAGACAATACATTTTTATATTCTTAAAATCCTGACCATAGTTTATTTCGTTTTGTAATTTGCTCCTTCTATTTCCTACGAGAGCCCCGGTGCACGAAATTCATGCACTGGGCGGGCGGGGTGTCTGTGTGGGTAAGTGTCCCTCAGCCCCGCCTGCACCCTCTCTAATGTGGGACCCCTTGGGGGATGTTCGGCTGCCAGACATCCCTCTCAATCGGGGACTGCTGGCTCCCATCCGCACACCTGCCTGATAGCCTGGTCACCCCCTAACCACTTACCTGCCAGCCTGATCAATGCCTAACTCCTGCTCTGCTGGCCCGATTGCCACCAACTGCCCTCCCCTGCTGGCCTGGTAACCCCAACTGCCCTCCCCTGCCAGCCCAGTCACCCCCAATTGCTCTCCCCTATGGCAGCCATCTTGTGTGAGGGCATGAGGGTCAATTTGCACATTACATCTTTATTTTATAGGATAACATGAGCTGGTATTGTTAAGTGGTTACAACATTGGCCAGTGCACCAAAGGGACTCAGGTTCAATGCCCAGTCAAAGGCATATACCTTGGTTCCAGGTTAGATTCCCGGCCCCAGTCAGAGTGTGTGTATGAGGCAACCAATTGATGTGTCTCTCTCACATCAATTTCTTTCTCTCTCTCTCTTCCCATCCCTTCAACTTTCACTAAAAAAAAAACAAAAAAAAAACAAAAAAAAAAAATCAATGAAAAAATATCCTCAGTTGAGGATTAATAAAAAATAAAAATAGTAGAAACCAGTTTGGCTCAGTGGATAGAGCGTCGGCCTGCGGACTGAAAGGTCCTGGGTTCGATTCCCGTCAAGGGCATGTACCTTGGTTGTGGGTATATCCCCGGTAGGGGGTGTGCAAGAGGCAGCTGATCGATGATTCTCTCTCATCAATATTTCTAACTCTCTATCCCTCTCTCTTCCTCTCTGTAAAAAAATCAATAAAATATATTTAAAATAAATAAATAAAAATAAAAAAGGATAGCTTCAAAAAACACAACTTTTCTGTTTTTTTTTTTTTTTAATTTTAGTTTTTTTCCATCACTATTTATTTTCTCCTTTGTTGCTCAATCCTGCATGCCCCCCACTGGGCCCAACATGGGCTCTGACAGAGAATTGAACCGTGACCTTCTGGTTCATAGGATGATGCTCAACCACTGAGCTATGCCAGCCAGGCTGATTAAACATTTATATAACTTAAAAAGAGATTCCCGGTAAGTCTAGTACCTATCAGACACCATACATAGTTATTATATTATTAACTATATTCCATATGCTGTACTTTACATCCCTGAGACTGTTTTTATAGCTGGCAACGCTAATCCTAACTCTAACCTTGTCCCCTTTTCACTCATCTCCCCAAACCTGTCTTCCATCTGGAAACCATCAAAATGTTCTCTGTATCTATGAGTTTTTTTCTCTTTTGTTTGTTCACTTATTTTGTTTTTAAAGTTCCACTAATATAAGTGAAATAATATGGCATTTGTATTTATCTGACTTTTAACATAATACTTCCTAGGTCCATTCATGTTACAATTGGGAAGATTTCATTCTTTTTATGGTTGAGTCATATTCCGTTATATATATGTACCATCTCTTTATCCATTCATCTATCGATGGATATTTAGTTTGCTTCCATATCTTGGATATTTAAGTGATGTTGCAATGAACATAGGGATACATATGTCTTTTCAAATTAGTGTTTTGGGAAATATCCAGAAGTGGAATTGCTGGGTCCTTCTTTGTCTCTTGATATACAGCCTTTGTTTGTTTTAAAGTCTATTTTGTCTGGTAGAAGTATTGCTGAAGTCTCTTGTAGGCAACAAGTTGATGAACCTTTTCTTTAAAAAAAAAAAAAAAGTTTTTATTGCTTTTTAGAGAGAAAGGAAAAGAGAGGGATAGAGAGAAACATCATTGATCGGCTGCCTCCTGCATGTCCCCTACTGGGGATCGAGACCACAACTGGGCATATGCCCTGACCAGGAATCGAACCGACTTTTCAGTATAGCAGATGACATCCACCAACTGAGCCACACACGCCAGGTTGCTATCTCCTCTTTTATGTTTTCTATCTCTTTGTTAAAGTTCTCACTGAGTTCAATGAGCATCCTTATAATCAATATTTTGAGCTGCACATTTGGTAAATTGCTTGTCTCTCTCGTTCAGTTCTTTTTCTGGAGTTTTGTCCTGTTCTTTCACTTGAAACATATTTGTCTCCTCATTTTGACAGCCTCCCTGTATTTGTTTCTCTTTTGGATGAGCTGCTATATCTCCTGGTCTTAGTAGTAAGTGCCAGGTACCATCTCCTTAGTCATCTGAACTGGGTGCTCCAGGTGTACCCTTGTGTACCCTCCTGTTGTAGTTGAGCCTTCATCACTGTTGACACATCAAGGAAGGAGTGATCCTCAGGCTGCTTGGCTGTGAGGACTGGCCTTGACTATAGCAGAAGAGCTGTTGTGCAGGGCCCAACACCACAGAACATCATTCACTTTAGCAGGGCTTTGATGCTTGCTGAGTCAGCCTTTTGGTGTGTCATTTGTGGAGGTGGTTGGGTTGTACTTTGGTGTGGTATAGAACTGGCCACTGGGTGTGCTGATTCTGGGACCACCTGGGAAATACAGGTCAAGGTCAGCCACTACTTATGCCCTGAGGCACTTGTATGAGCTACAAAGTTATCTGCAGATGGCTGCTACTTGTGTTGGGCTTGGAGGTGCCTGGGAGAGGCTAAGCTGTGAACTAAGGCCAGCTGTACTAGTGCCAGGCTTGGGTCTGCTTAGCATAAAATATGGGGCACAAAGAGGTCAAGATGCTGCTTGTATGGGGATTGTGAACCTTTGAAAGATTTTGGGAAAGCCTGCCAGTAGGGAAAAGCCACTGGAACTAGCATGGGTGAGCCTGAATATTGAGTGGGGTGGTGTCTCAGAGAATCAATCACCAGGGCAGGGCAAACAATATTAGGTATTTTGAGACTCAAGACAAGATATAGTGCCCCACTGTGCCTGCAGGGGATTTGGCAAAAGAATAATGACTTCTGCCAGTACTTCTGTCTGGGAGAAAGTTGCCCCCCAGCTCTACCCTTGCCTGAAGGCCAGACAATTCAGTTCCTCTCTGTATGTCCCTGGCACCTTTCACATTGCTGCCTCAACTTTGGAGCTCAGAGCAAGTGAGCTCAAGTAAGCCTGTGCACTGGGTCTCCAGTAGCTTTTTTGTCTCCCTTAGTCACAATCCTCACTCGTTTCCAAAGCCAGAAGTTACGAGGACTTCTCTTCCCAGCACTGAAACCCAGGGCTGAGATTCCTTGCTCCTCAGAGGGGATGACCTCCCCAACTGAAATTTCCCTCCTGATTTTAACCACCACCTGTGGGGGTGGAACAAGCTTGTTCAGTATTTCGACCGCTCCTAATCTCAATATTACTTCCTTCTTTATATTCTTAGTTGTAGGATTTCTATTCAGCTGGATTTTAGGCGGTTCTCAATGATGGTTGCTCTGTATTTTGGTTGTAATTTTGATGTGGTTGAAGGAGAAGGCAAGCATGGCGTTTGCCTATGATGTCATCTTCACATTTGTATTATTATTTTAACATATATTTTTATTGATTTCAGAGAGGAATGGAGAGAGAGAGAGAGAGAAACATCAATGATGAGAGAAAATCATTGATCAGCCACCTCCTGCACAACCCCTATTGGGGATCAAGCCCACAACCAGGCATGTACCCTTAACCGGAATCAAACCCAGGACCCTTTGGTCCGCAGGTCGAAGCTCTATCCACTAAGCCAAACTGACTAGGGCTGTATTATTATTAATTAAATAAATTATTAGTGTATCATGCCACAAACACTTCTGTTTCCACTTAGTTGCAGAAAAAAGAAACATTAGCTAGCAGAGAAAGTTGGACCCACTCAACTCTCAATCTCATTTTAGTGAGAGGTAAGGTGTGATGCTCAAAATCTGCTGGTAGTCCTGGATCCTATTTCTTCTGCAAAGTATTCCCTACATAGGAGACACAGCACTGTTACTCCATGACTTCTAGGAAAGAAAATGCAAACTCACTGAGTCAGTATTAAAGCTTGTGTCTTGACATTCTTTGGATACTCCTGATCTGCTTTTATTGTTCCACTTTATGCTTTTAAAGTGTCAGTGAGCTTTTATACTCTCATGGATGATGTCAGGTTCTATCTAAAGATTTATAGCCTGACCACAAGTCAAAAAGGTAGGTTAATTTAAGACGTTGCTTTAAATGAAGAATCATAAAAAAAGCACATACACATACCTCGAACATTTTTAACTTAAAACATATTAAAGTACATTAATGCACTGACCTTGTGTTAGAAGGCCAAGGCCTTGTCTCTGAGTGTGGCTCCAATGATAAGAGTTCCACACCCTCTTTACTAGATAAATTACACATGGTATTCCATGTGTAATTTACAATGTGGGCTTCTTTGAAGTGGAATAAGAACCAGAAGACACATCAGCAATCAGTATGCAGAATCCTTCTGATAAAAAACATATTCTCAATGGCCTCTATTTCGCTTTTTACCCGCCCCTAATTCAATAGCCATTTTTAAAAAAATGCTGTTAGCAATTCACCTTATTAAGTCTTTCCAAAAATGTTCAATTTAGTGTTCATAGAATTCATCATTTTTATACTACTAACTTCAATGTTTTACATGCTATCTAATAAAATTATATATCATAATTACATAAAATTCAACAGATATAAACAGGTTTCAACTGATTCTTATCAACAAGCTGAGAAAGAAAAACCAGCCCTGAATATCTGGAAACTGCTTGACACAGCTAGGCACAGCGATGTCTGAAGCTGGCATGGGGCACACAACAAGGCCATGTTATTCTCCTGCTGGACATAAGCAATCTCACAAAATATCAACATCAGACAAGGTCACTCTGAGACCATGAGAAAGTGAGACAAAACAAAAAACACTTCAAAATTCTGTCTGAATATGGACAAAAAAACAAGGTCACTGTGCAATCTACAAAACACCAAACATCCCCCTCTCATGGCTAACATGTGACTGCTACTCCCTGGCAGGTGCAGCTTTCATCTCATGCTAGTCAGCCCTCCCAAATAAGATTTATTAAGATATGCAAAGAATTGCCCCACAGTCTAATAATATCCAATCCAAAACAAAGCCCCTCTTCCTCAAACCCATCCCCAAATTACCTAATACAAACCCAAATCATGTAAGTCCTTATGAATATTCTTACTGAGACACCCCACAGTGTGCACACTCTCTTCCTATAATGAATAATGAGCCCAGCTTGTTCAACTACAGCTGTGTTCCAGTGGTTGCTGCTGGAGGCACTGACCAGGCCGGTCAACTGGCTAAAGCAGAATGTGGGACCAAAGGACAGAAAACCAACATTATCCCTTAGAATATTTACCAACAAATGAAGAGCATTAGTTAATCTGGAGCTGGTTAAGCAAGCTTCTACCACATTTCCTTAAGTTCATTTCCTAGAAGTAGAATTACTGGGTCAAAGCAGAACATTTTAATAAGATTCCTGATCTTGGGGCTTCCAGTCAAGATGATGGAATAGGGAAATGTATTCAGTACTTGCATCCACCTACCACCACATCAAAATTTTAACTAAACTACAGAACCACCATCATTCAGAACCACCTGCAATCTAACAGTAGAGAAGTCCTACAACTAGAGATATACAGAAGAAGTCACATCCAGGCTGTTAGGAGGAGTGGAGACACTGACTGAGCTGATCCCACACCCACATGTGGCAGATAAAACCAGAAGGGAAATCTTGTCCACAGGGGTCCCCACAGAGGAGCAAGGAGTCCCAACCCCACACCAGGCTCTCCAGCCCAAGACTGCAGTGCTGGGAAGAGAAGCCCCATGGCTTCTGACTGTGAAAACCAGTGGCGATTGTGGCTGAAGTACAATTAGGCTCAGGCACCAGAGTCCCAGTGAAGTGAATGCTGCTCCATGGAGTTACTCCTGCACCATGGGGTGGCCCTTTCATGGTGATCATGATGGCCAGTCCTTGAAGGAATAGCCTGGGGGTAAATACCTCTTATTGATATGCCAATAGCAATTATAACAGGAGGGTGCACACAGTCCACACGAGGGGGAGGCACACCTGGAACACCCAGCTCAGGTGACCAGTGAGGCTCTACAGAACACCTGCTACATAAGGCTAGTCTACCAAGACCAAAAGACATAGCAGCTCTAGCTAATATAATACATAGAAACAAACAGAGTCAGCCAAAATGAGAAAAAGACATTCCAAATGAAAGAGCAGAACAAAACTCCAAAAAAAGTGGAGACAAGCAATCTATTAGATGCAGAATTCAAAACATTGGTTATAAGGATGCTCAATGAACTCAGTGAAAACTTAAACAAAGAGATAGGAAACATAAAAAAGGAGATAGATTTAAAAAAGGAGGAAGAACCATGTCTTTTTTTTCAGCTATGTTCTCAAAGTTCATCAGTATTGTCACATGTGTCAGAATTTCCCTTTTTAAAGGATGAATAATATATTCTATTGCATGTATAAGACATTTTGTTTATCCACTACCTGTAGGTAAATACTTGTGTTGCTCCCACCTTTTGGTTAATAATGAATAATTCTGCTATGAACACTGAGTACATAAATACCTCTTGGGACACTTTCAGTTATTTTGGGTATATATCCAGAAGCAAAACTGCTGGGGTATATGGTAGTTCTATTTTTAAATTTTTGAGGAACATTTTCCTTAGTGACTGCATCAGTTTACAGTGCACAAGGATTTCAATTTCTCCACGGTTTTTAAAACATATTTTTATTTATTTCAAAGAAGAAGGGAGAGTGGAAAGACAAACTTCAATGATGAGAATCATTGATCACCTGTTTCCTGCACACTCCCCACTAGTGATCAAGCCCACAACCTGGGCATGTGCCCTTGACCAGAATCGAACCTCAGACCACAGGATGATGCTTTATCTACTGAGTCAAACCGACTGGGCTGTTTTGTTTTTTATAGTAGCCATCCCGATTGATGTGAGGTGGTATCTCATTGTGGTTTTGATTTTCATTTCCCCAATGATTAGTGATGTTGAGCATATTTTCATATTCTTGTAGGTCATTTATGTATGTTTGTTGGAGAAATGTCTAAGTCCATTCCCTTTTAAAATCAGATTATTTGGGGTGTTTTGGTTGTTGAATTATAGGTCTTTATGTACTGTGAATATTAATCCCTATTTTATCCCATCCTATACCTTGTCTTTCCACTCTGTTACTGTATCCTTTGATGCACAGAAGTTTTAAATTTTGATGTAGTATAAGTATGTATTTTTTACTTTTGTTGCCTGTGCTGCTTCTGGTGTCAGCTAGAAATCACTGCCAAATCCAGTATCATAAAACTTTTCCTCTATGATTTCTTTTAAGAAAATACAGTTTTAGGTCTTATAATATTTAGATATTTGATCAATTTTGAGTTAATTTTTGTATATGATTTAAATTTAGGGTCCAACTTCATTTTTTGCATGTGAATATCTAGTTTGGGAAAACATTTGTTGAAAAAACTGTCCTTTCCCATTCCATGATCTTTGTATCCTTGATTAAAATTATTGATTATATAACTTTTAACATATATATTTTATTGATTTTGTACAGAGAGGAAGGAAGAGGGATAGAGAAATAGAAACATCGATGAGAGAGATACATCGACCAGCTGCCTCCTGCACACCCCCTACTGGGGATGTGCCCGCAACCAATGTACATGCCCTTGACTGGAATCGAACCCGGGACCTTTCAGTCCGCAGACCGACGCTCTATCCACTGAGCCAAACCGGTTTCGGCTGATTATATAACTTTTAAATGTATGTTTGCATTTGAAAATAAGCATACCTCAAACACTACAGGATGTAATCTGTACAGTATTATACAAAAAAAATACTCTCATATGAGAGTAAAAAAGTTTGAGAAGAAAATATTTTAATTATAAAAAGTTTTCCTTTAAAATATAAAAGCTAATAAATATTTAAATGTGAGTTTAAACACTAATGAGTTTCAGATAATTAAAAATACATCTGATTCACGCTTGCTGTAGTTTCTTTGAAGGATTTCAAGGAGGTATTACCAACTTCTGATCTGCAATAATTTGCAAGTATACAGTGTAAGGCTAAAATAGTTTTACAGTTGTGAGCACACAAATACAAAGTTTATTCTTGTATTATTATTTATTAATTATCGTATTTTTTTCCATATAAATAACTGTAAACCTATTTTTGCCCCACCCTGTATTTTGCATGTTTTTATAAATAAGCTTTTAAATACTGAACTCACAATAAAATTGTCAACTTAGCATGACTTTCCATCCAACTATTTACTTCTATTTAGTTCCTTGGGAGAGTGAGTACAATATAAGGGATCAAGAGAGTTCAATATACAGCATGCATGCTATAGTCCATTTATATCACTTGACTTTATTTTGATAAAGTAGCTACTGCTATAGCATCCTATGTAATAAAAGAGTAATATGCAAATTGACCATGCCTCTGCTATACCACAAACCACACCCACCAGCCAATCAGGAGCAAGTATGCAAATTAATCCAACCAAGATGGCTGCAGCCACCAAGAGCAAGAGGCTTGGCAATGGAGGAAGTCAAGCTTTCCACACACCCTGGCCAGCCCAGGCCTCCGATTAAGGCTACAAAGTTTCAATTATAGAAGATAAATAAATCCCAACAAAAATGGCAGCAGCCACGGAGCTGGAGAGAGCAGAAGGCTTGGGTTGCCCCTGACGATGGAAGAAGCCAAGCTTTCCTCACACCCTGGCCTGCTCAAGGCTACTAAGTTTCAATTATAGAAGATAAAAAAATCCCAATAAAATGGCTGTAGTCACAAAGCAAGCAGGAGGCTTGGCTCAGCTCAAGGCTACAAAGTTTCATTTATAGAAGATAAATAAATCCCATATACCAGGGCCTCTGCTTGGGTTGCCGGGGGCGTGGCTGATCTGCAAACCATCACAGGCCCCTCGCCCAGGCGGCTCTATGCCCCAAGGGAACCCCCACCCTGATCCAGGACACCCTTCAGGGCAAACCAGCTGGCCCCCACCCGTGCACCAGGCCTCTATCCTATCTAATAAAGAGTAATATGCAGACTGACCATCACTCCAACATAAGATGGCTGCCCCCATGTGGACATAAGATGGTCGCCAAAAGATGGCCAGCAGGGGAGGGCAGTTGGGAGGGACCAGGCCTGCAAGAGAGAGCAGTTGTGGACAATCAGGCCAGCAGGGGAGAGCAGTTCAGAGGGACCAGGCCTGCAAGGGAGAGCATTGGGGGCGATCACGGTGCAGGGGAGGGCAGTTAGGGGTGACCAGGCCGGCAGAGGAGGGAAGTGGGGACGACTGGGCCTGCAGGGAAGGGCAGTGGGAAGACCCAGGCCTGCAGGGGAGAGCAGTTGTGAGGGACCAGGCCTCCAGGGGAGGGTAGTTAGTGGTGACCAGACCTGCAGGGGAGGGCGGTTAGGGGCAAACAGGCTGTTAGGGGAGAAGTTAGGCATTAAACAGCCTGGCAGAGGAGTGGTTAGGAGGTAATCAGGCTGGCAGGCAGAAGCGGTTAGGGGCAATCGGGAAGGCAGGCAGGCGAGCAGTTGGGAGCCAGCAGACCTGGATTGTGAGAGGAATCCCACACTGGAGAGGGTGCAGGCTGGGCTGAAGGACACCACCTGCCCCGTGCATAAATTTCATGCACTGGGCCTCTACTATAAATATAGCACAGTCTAACCAATGTTTCTTGTTTTATTCAGGTAACTGAACACGTTACAGAAATTTTACCAAAAGTATATTGCTCTATTATCATATTTCTAATTATTATTTTAAGGGAGCCTCTAAAGGCTCTGTCATTGGTTTGGTTTTAGTCATTAACAGTTTTTATTCCTGTATTCTTTGCAGAAAGTACAAAAATGGAATTGTAGGCTCAGGATTACCGTATTTTTCGGACCATAAGACGCACTTTTCCCCCCCCAGAAGTGGGGGGAAAACGTCCCTGCGTCTTATGGTCCAAATATAGCCTACACATATACTTTAAAAAAAAAGTTTTTTTACTTGCCCGGCTCTGTGTGGTCTCTGTGTGCTTGCCCGGCTCTAAAATGGTTCTAAATGCTGCTGTTTACTTTACAGGGTTGATTACATGTGTTTATGACTGTGATGTTGGGTTTTAATGCACATAAAATATTTTAGGACACTATTTGTTTCAGAATCTTTTTTTCTTCATTTCCCTTCTCTAAAAACTGGTGCGTCTTATGGTCCGGAGCGTCTTATGGTCCGAAAAATACGGTAATCTTAAAGCTCTTCTACATTTTATAAGATCAGGAAAGAAGGTTAGGTGGCTTATTCATGTTAACATACCAGAATGAAGAGCGAAGAGAGGAACCCTGGCTGCCCCACACCCAGCTAGATGCTCTCCCCATGAGAGACGCTGTCTCTAAATAGTTATGTTGCAGGTACCATGTCACTGAAAGTTATCTCTCTTTTCTCTGCTCAAAATTAAAGGCAATGTAAAAGACTTCTTCATCATAGTGTTCTACTGAGATATCTGGATAGAGAAGGTGGCAGTATAAATTCTCAGCAAGTCTTAAGTCTACTTGCAAAGATAACCGCCAAGAGAAGACTTATCTTAAATCTATCAACTTCTTCCAGACAGAAATTCAAAGGGTAGGATAAAATTTAGGTAGTGGGAACAAAGAGGTCTGCCATGGCCATTTACTCTGAGTTCATCTAAATTAAATAATGTCACAGCCAAACTGATGGCCCTTGAGCTTCACATCCCTAAATCAACAAAAATGGAAAAAAGTCTACTTTAACTGCCATTATTACCTGCTACATTAAGAAAAATAATCTTAATAGCTATTTTTTTTTTTTTTAAAGAAACATGTTATTGGTTTTAGAGAGGGAGGAAGGAAAAAGGAGAGAAAAATTGACGTGAGAAAAAAACTTGGATTGGCTGCCTCCCAGGGACGAAACTGGTGACCTGGGCATATGCCCAAAATGGGAATCTAACCATCGCCCTTTCAGTGCATGGGACAATGCTCAACCACTGAGCTATACCAGCCAGGGCTGATTGCTATCTTATTGAAACACAAGATTAATCTCACATGAGCCATTAAGTCATGAAGGACTCAAAGGAGAAGTGGGAAGTGGCACAGCCAGCACTAGGGCCTGGAAAGAGAACAGCTGGACAGAAAGCAGAAGGCACCATGACAAACTAACATCTACAAGTACCGGGAAGACAGAGTGGCAGAAAGGCAGGAAGAGTTTTAACTCCTTAGTTCCTCACTTGCTGCTTCCTTTCCCAGATTACTGCTTAGTTAGCAATTCAACTAAGTTGTAGAGGCAGAAAAAGAAAGCAATTGTAGTAAATACTGAATTGGGGGAAACAGTGGTTATTAACCTTTTTTATTCTCAGGATCCCTTGACATCTTAAAAATTGAGGACCCCCAAAATCTACTTATATACCTATAGATAGTTACAATATTAAAGATAAAAATAATTACATACAATTCATTTAAAAATAAAATAATCTCATTGTATTAATATACTTATTTTTGTGAAAATATATTTAAAAAAAAAGTTAGTGAGGAGTGTGACATTGTTTTGTGATTTTACAAATGTAAAATATGTCTGACTTCAACCGGGCACAGATGGTGTGGCTCAGTGATTGAGTATTGACTTATGAATGAACTAGGAAGTCACAGTTCAATTCCTGGTCAGGGCACATGCCTATGTTGCAGGCTTGATTTCCAGTGTGGGGTGTGCAGAAAGCAGCTGATAAATGATTCTCTCCCTTCAACGTTTCTATCCCTCTATCCCTCTCCCTTCCTCTCTGAAATCAATAAAATATAGAAAATATAGAAAAATATAGAAAGACAACCAGATTCTCAAACCTATATTTGTATTTGTCTATGGCAATTTTTATTGATGTATATGGCAAAAATATCCAAACTCACAAAGATAGATAGTTGAAAAAGTAAGAGTATTTAATCGCTTTTCCAGGCTATTATGAAATGTAATCATACATTACTACATCAAAACTAGACAAATGGTAGCTTCATAAACTTTAGTTGCAATGTAGAACCTGAAAACATATAAATGAACTTTTTACCTTATACTACAGTAAATCATTGGTCTAGTGTGCACACTAAATGAATCTTTTACTCATGTATAACTTTATAATAGCTTGCCTTGGTCATTGGGAAAATGCTTGTTCACTGAGTTACACAGATTTTCCAAATGTGAACAGATTTCATCAGATAATAGTTTTGAAAGCACACACATTAACACCCACTGACCTCATCAGAAATCTTTTAGGCTTTGGGAAGCTGTCAAACTCAAAGTGGCAGATACTAATGTCCAAACCTTCACTTGAAAATTCAATGGTAACAAATACTGTCAGCTGTTCTCCTTGAATTGAGAGGTTACTTCACTCATTTTCAAGAAAATATCTGCCTACTATTGAATAATCAAGTCTGAATAATCATACTTTTTGCCCTTTCTAATAAAAATGATGTTTCATGGAAAGGGGGGAAAAAAGCAGCTAGGGCTCAGGTGTGTTTCCTTGATAGCCACGAACTGGGTGTAGAGTGTGCTTTATATGTGCTTCCCTTTATCACAAAACAGCAAGACAATGTGACATTCAGGGATTAGGACTGAATAAAATTAGTATTTTATACACTATATCAAGGACATTCTTAAAAGAAACTGGCTTTCCCTTTTTTCTAACTTAAACAGTAAATGAGGGCAGTAAAGGACACATGACTGCTGGTGTTCTTTGGCTCCACAGTAAAAAGATAAATAACATTATGAAAATAATTTTGATATTATGGACCTCCTAAAAGGATCTCAAGAACACCCCAGGATCCAAGAGCAGTAATCTGAGAACTACTTTAAAATATCTTTACTTTTGTGTACTGGCCAGGCCAGGTGGCTTAGTTGGTTGAGCATCATCCTGTACACCAAAGGGTTTGGGTTCAACCCCCCAGACAGGGAGGGTACAGGAGACAAATGATCAATGTTTCTCTCTCACATTGATGTTTCTTTCTTTCTCCCTCCCTTTATCTCTAAAATAAAATTAAAAAAAAATCTCTGAGCCCAGCTGGTGTGGCTCAGTGGTTGAACATCGACCCATGAATCAGGAGATCATGGTTTGATTCCTGGGCAGGGCACATGCCTAGGTTGCAAGCTCAATACCCACTAGGCGCAGGCGTCTTCAAACTACGGCCCGTGGGCCACATGCGGCCCGCAGAGGAGTCTGATCCGGCCCACCAGGTTTTTTGGGCAGTGAGCGCAGCCGAGGTGTTACAGTAGGAATTAGTAGTTCATATAGTCCGGCCCTCCAGCTCTCTGAGGGACCGTGATCTGGCCCCCACTTTAAAAAGTTTGAGGACCCCTGGATTGTGAAGGAGGCAGCCTATCAATGATTCTCTCATCATTGACGTTTCTCTCTCTCCGTCTCCCTTCCTCTCTCTGAAATCAATAAGAACACATTTAAAAAACACACAAAACATTCTTGGGTAAGGATTAAAAAAATATTTTAACTTCTGGCGAAAAAGGATCTACTAGCTCCTATATAATATAAATAGTAAAAACTCTAAGCAAAACAAAACTCAAAAATAACCTCTTACCTTTGCCAAGATTAAAGACAAATGGTTCATTTCTATCATGACTGGAATCAAACTTCTTTCCATTTGACAATTTTCCATTGTAATGGACATAAACCTTATCTCCGATCATTGGTGTTTCCTCACTATTCCCCACTCTTTTGACAATCTAAAAAAGATAAACATCAAGAAAAAGGAGGTGAAACTTTTTTAACATTTAAGCAGAGAATGAAAAGATTACAGACCATTTCATGTCACACCCAGGCAGATATGCAAATAATTACCTGTCTTTTCTAAATGCTCCCCTCCTACTTCTCTTAAAAACCTGCACTATTAGAAAATTGTCCTATTCTACTCTTAATTTTTAATACTACATTTAATCCTGTTAATAACATTGCTCCCTCAAAATAACTTACCAACAGATCCTGCTTCATTGGTTTAATGCTCCCCATGTTTTGACACTAAAATCTCTCAAAACACAGCCAGTCCATATACAAACTGAATTAGATAAGATTAGTAGACTTTCAAAAACATTCAAAAAGAAGTCTAAAGCAACATTCCAAAGGTGAGGTTTTATTTATTCCCTACTTTGATAAAAAGATTAGCTTCTGACTAGATCCTACTAGTTTGATTTAATTTCAAAAAGCCCAATTTCCTGGTGTAACAGGTTACCCTTCCTATTATTTGAATATTCAATCTATAAAAACCCAGAGTGACTGCACAGTTTGATATAATACTGAATAACTTATTTTCTAGAAAAGGAAATGCCTAAAAAAAAAACCCTCCAAGCTGCAAAATATTTAGCTATTATAAAATCCAGTTTACTTATTTTGTTCTTGGCAGAGCAAGCCACTAATGCAATTGGTCAGTCCTGGGAAAAGAAAATCAAATCCAGGCATGTTGTGGTGTAATTTATCATGTCAATCACCTATGCTAACACAATCATTTTTTAGAGGATGATAGCTAATGTCTCAAGAACATCTTTTTTTGGAGAAGGGTCTGACCTCAATTATTACCCTACCCAGTTTGGCTCAGTGGACAGAGCATCAGCCCCAGGACTAAAGGGCTCTGGATTTGATTCTGATCAAGGGCACATAGCTTGGTTGCAGGTTCCCCGCACTGATCAGGGTGCATGTAGGAGACAACCAACTGATGTGTCTCTCTCATTTTGATGTTTATCTCTCTCCCCATCTTTCCTTCTACTCTCTCTAAAAATCAATGGGGGGGGAGGGTAAAGAGCATGGAGGTTCATTAAAAAATTAAAAATAAAACTACCAGCAATCTCACTTTTGTATATAAACCCAAAGTAAACAAAATCACTATCTCAAAGTTATCTGCACTCCCATGTTCATTGTAGCATTATTCACAACAGCAATGGCTGAATAAAGAAGATATGATACACATACACACATACATGCCCCCCCACATACATGAATATAGTGTGCACAGAGGAATATTATTCAGCCACGAGAGAGGGAAATCATACCTTTTGTGACAATATGGATGTATTTTGAGGACATTATGCTAACTGAAGTAAGCCAGACAAAGAGAAACAGTCATAGCCCTTATGTGTTAAATTTTAAGAAAGTTGAACTCACAAAAACAGCAAGTAAAATGGTGGTTGCCAAGGGCTAAAGGTTAGGGCATATGGTGAAATGTAAGTCAAAGCATAAAAATTTTCAGATATAAGATAGGTAAATTCTGAGGATCTAATGCATAGTATGCTGACCATAATTAACAACACTGTATTATATACCTGAAAATTGTTAAAGTATTAAAATTTAAATGTTCTCACCATAAAAAAGAAAAAAAAAGGTAATTATATGAGGTGATGGAGGATTAACTAACCCTATTGTGATAATCATTTTGAAACATACAAATGTATCAAATCATCACATTCTACACCATAAATTTACATACTGTTATAGGTTAAGTATATCAATAAAATTGGGGAAAATGATTATAATTTTAAAAATAAGAGCTACTTAAAAAAATCATTTCTGCCCTTCAAGGTCTTCATTTTGCTGTGGAAATCTGAAGTGATTTCACATATTAATTGCTGGTGTGCACAGCTATCTGACTTCCTGGTAGCCATTCACCCCATCTGCCCAATTAGTTGTTCACGTCCTGGAAATGTAGATTCAAAACTGGTGCAGGGGAAAATGTTTTTAAAAAATTAACCTAAAAGAAATTACTTGCTACTCTAGATGTGCTCATATTCATGAACTACACGCAGTATGTGGGAGCCTGAGCCCCACCCAGAGGGAATCTGCATTTCCAAGACTGTGAACCAGTAATTGGGCAGATAGGATGAATACGGTAGTCATCCTATCTGCCCAATCAAGAAGTCAGGTACTGTGGTATCACTTCAAGTTTCCACAGCAAGACAATCTTGTATCAAAATCTGGAGTTGTTCTAAAGCTACAATCTAGTCTCAATTCATTTTTTAAAAAAAGTAAGGTCCACAATATCATTTTATTATTTTTTTAAAATATATTTTATTGATTTAAAAATATATATATTTTATTGATTTTTTACAGAGAGGAAGAGAGAGGAACAGAGAGCTAGAAACATCGATGAGAGACAAACATCAATCAGCTGCCTCCTGCACACCCCCCACCAGGGATGTGCCCGCAACCAAGGCACATGCCTTTGACCGGAATCGAACCCAGGACCCTTCAGTCCGCAGGCTGACGCTCTACCCACTGAGCCAAACCGGTTTTGGACACAATATCATTTTATGTTCTTTGGCCAGTTACTGACTTCAGAGTTGCCTTGGTCTTAAAAATAAACAAACAAATAAAATAAAATAAAAATGAATACATATATATATGAGATTACCATGGGCGTGGCACCTTACTAAATGCTTTATGTAATCCTGATAACTCTATGAGCTAAGTAGTAGTATTATTCCCCACAAATAGGTTAACTAAACTGCCCTAGGTCACACAGTTAGTAAACCTATTCAATCTTAACAAAAGCCTGAAGCTCCAGACAGTAATAAATGATATGATTTTTAAAAATTTACAATCTCAAAATGTTTCTTACTAGCCTTCCAAAACTAAAAATCTTATTAGTTTACTAGAGGCCCAGTTCATGGATTCAAGCACTGGTGGGGTTCCTAGGCCTAGCCTGCAGAGATCAGGCTGAAACTAACTCTCAGACATCACTCGAGGAGTCCCAGATTGTGAAAGGGCGCAGGCTAGGCTGAGGGACCCCACTGGTTGTGCACCGAGCCTCTAATATGTATATAAGATCTTTGGTTAATATCTTCCTGCCCTCCCTCCTCCTCCCTTCCCTCTGAGATTCATCAGTCTGTTCCATGTTTCTATGCCTGTGGTTTCCGCTCCTGTGTTTAGGGTTTGCCCTATGGTGCCAGTGCGCATTGTAGCTACCGGTAGAACAGTCAACCGGTCGCTTAGACTTTTATATATATAGAGAGAGCAGGAGGCTTGGCTCGCTCTAGGCTACAAAGTTTCAATTATAGAAGATAAATAATCCCAGATACCAGGGCCTCCACTTGGGTTGCTGGGGAGAGTGGCCGGCCTGCAAACGACCACAGGCCCCTCGTTCAGGCCACCCCACAGCCCAAGGAAACCCCACCCTGATCTGGAACACCCTTCAGGGCAAACCAGCTAGCCCCTACCTGTGCACCAGGCCTCTGTCCCATCTTGTGTGTTGGAGTGATGGCAGATTGGCCATCACTCCAACACACAAGATGGCTGCACCCATGTGGTCAAAGATCCTGCCCCTATGTGGAAACAAGATGGCCAGCAGAGGAGGGTAGTTGGGAGGATCAGGCTTGCAAAGGAGGGCAGTTGAGAGGGACCAGGCCTTCAAGGGAGTGCAGTTGAAGGCAAACAATCCTGCAGGGAAGGGCAGTTAGGGGTGACCAGGCTGGCAGTGGAGGGAAGTTGGGGACAAATGGGCTGGCAGGGGAGCAGTTAGACATCAATCAGGCTGGCATGGGAGTGGTTAGGGTGTGATCAGACTGGCAGGCATAGCAGTTAGGGGCAATCAGGAAGGTAGGCAGGCAAGCAGTTGGGAGCCAGCAGTCCTGGATTGTGAGAGGGATGTCTGACTGCCTGATTCCACCAGGCAGTCAGACATCCCTCAAGGGGTCCCAGATTGGAGAGGATGCAGGCTGGGCTGAGGAACACCCCCCGCCCCTGTACATGAATTTTATGCACCAGGTCTCTAGTCATAATAATAAAGAGCTAATATGATAATGGTCGGGGCACTGTAACATGTAACAACTGATTGCAGGAGGCTGCCTGAGTGTGCAAGGGGGGGCATTGCTCTGGAGACAGGGCGGAAGTGGAGAGGTGCCTGGAGGAGGTAGGACCATCCCATGCTGGAGAGGGCGCAGGTGAGAGCCCATAGTACCCCCATCACCAGTCCTTGCTACCCAGTGCCCGCATTCAGAGCGTTCTACTGTCCACTGCCAGGGGAAGGAGCACAGCGCAGCAGGCGGAAGGCTTCCACGCTCTCCTCTGGCACCAGGACATCACTCTGGAGAAAGGGTGGAAGTGGGGAGGTGCCTGGCGCAGGAGGGACCAGTCGGAGCGACTGGAGGGACCAAGAGTGGGGCTTGAAGCCACCAGAGAAGGCAGAGGGGTGGGGGCACGGCCAGGCGCGCTGGAGCTCTGTGTGAAGAGGTTGAGGTGTGAGGCAGGCAGTGCCGCAGTTTCTTCAGCTGGGCTCCTAGGTTGTATGTAAAAACAGGCTCTTGCCTGGCCAGGTGGCTCAGCTGATTGAAGTGTCTGTTGCCTAAACACCAAAAGGTTGAGGGTTCAATCCTCAGTCAGGATGTGTGTGGAGGCAATGGATTAATCTCTCTCTCTCTCTCTCTCTCTCTCTCTCTCTCTCATAAAAAAAATTAATAAACATATCCTCTGGTGACAACAACAAAACAACAAATTCTTTTGAATTTTGCAAACTCTTCTTTTTTTCCTTTAAAAAAGTCTTTTAAATTATTGGCTAGATTTAATATACTGAAACATTATATTAAAATAATACATTTGTATACACTTCACCTTTTGGAGTCAGACATAACTTGGACCTGAACTCCAGATCTGCTTTTATTTATACATATTATACTGGGCAAGTAATTACCTAGCTGGGTCTGTCAGTTCACCATCTATAATCTGGGATTAAAAATAAACCTCAGTCGAAACCGATTTGGCTCAGTGGATAGAGCGTCGGCTTGGGGACTGAAGGGTCCCGGGTTCGATTCCGGTCAAGAGCATGTACCTTGGTTGCGGGCACATCCCCAATGGGAGGTGTGCAAGAGGCAGCTGATCGATGATTCTCTCTCATCGATGTTTCTAACTATCTCTCTCTTCCTCTCTGTAAAAAATCAATAAAATATGTTAAAAAAATAAAATAAACCTCAAACCCTGTCCTGTGTGCTCAATGGTTAGTGCTTTAACCTTCACACCAAAGGGTCATGGGTTCCATTTCCAGACAAGGGCATGTGCCTGGATTCTAGGTTCGATCCCTGCCCCAGTCAGGGTGAGTGTGGGAGACCACCCATTGATATGTCTCTCTGATATTAATGTTTCTTCTCTCTTTTTTTCTCTTTCCTTCTCCCTCCCTTCCACTCTCTCTGAAAATCAATGGCAAAATATCCTCAAGTGATATGTGTATACACACACACACACACACACACACACACACACACACACGCATAAAATAAATATGTGTATATACACACACATATACACACACACATATAAAATAAAATAAACTTCATGCTATGAAATAATAATTTAGTGGTAATGTTTGGCTGGGCCTCAGTTTCACCATCAATAATCTGGGATTAAAAATAAACCTCAAATTATGAATGAAATGAGAATTTAACAGTAATGTTTGTCACTTAGTAAGCCTCAGTAAACATTCTCCAGACTACCCCCCCGCCCAACACACACACACACACACACACACACACACACACAAGATTTTCACAAACAGTAAATTTCCCTTCCTATCATTCATCCTTGTGGCCTCACCTTTAGTACTCCTCTGTCTTTTTTGGAGGTAATATCCTCTCCTTGTTCGGCAACAGCTGCTGCTGGGTTTTCTCCATTGTTTTTGGCACCTTCATCAGTAGTCATTGTCTTTTGTAAGTTGAAAACCTGCTGAGGAGAAACATATTTTAGGAAAAATATCATTTCCTTGTGCATCATAAAATGCTCCCAGGAACTGAGCATTTATGACCCCCTAAGATTTACTTAGGGGCAATAAGGTTAAACACTGAAAATAAAAACAAACAAACAAAAACACAAAAAACGTTATTATAAGCACGTGTTGATGTCATAAGGCACGTAAATAAAACATTATCCGATTCTTCAATTTCCCATCCAGCACTGGTCCCAAATTAGACAGCAATATAAAGTATGTTTGGTAGTGATTATATTCCTTAAGATAATTACATTTTGAGAACCAGTGCTTTCAGAACTTTGAAAACATCCTTTTCCTACAGCCATATTCTTGACAGACTTAAGAACTTATCAAGTGATCTGTTAAGAGAAATTTTAATTTAATCATTATCAGAAATAATCAGGCTTTGGAAGCTGACAGATCCCAGTGCGAGTCCTAGCTCCAGCAATATCTGTTTGGTACTTGCAAACATACTTAATGTCACACTGAGCTTCAGTTTCACATCTGTAAAATGGACAAAGTACATTGCTCATACAGTTACTGTGAGACATTAATAAGATGATGTATGTTAAGAGATTAGCACTGATTTGCAAGGCAAATCAATGTTACCAAAGGCTAATTAATATAGATGAAACAGCCCTAACCAGTTTGGCTCAGTGAATAGAGCATTGGCCTGTGGACTGAAGGGTCCCAGGTTCAATTCCGGTCAAGGGCATGTACCTTGATTGCGGACACATCCCCAGTAGGGGGTGTGCAGGAGGCAGCTGGTTGGTTTCTCTGTCATCGCTGTTTCTAATTCTCTATCCTCTCCCTTCCTCTCTGTAAGAAATCAATAAAATATATACATTTAAAAATAGATGAAACAAAGCACACCTCACTAGGTACTGCCATGATTAATTCCATACTGCTCTCCTGGTTGAGCAGGGAAAGTCAAGAATTAGTCACTCTATAGCTATTCTATAATAGGCTTAATGATGCACGGCTTTCTAAAGTCACCTGCTGGATCTTCTTGCCTACACAGTCAAAAAGAGCTATTTTACACTTGTGAAAATGTCTCAAGACAACTAAAACTATATTGTAGTATTTTAACTCATTTCCAATTGACCTAAATTTATTTCAGTGTCAACAAAGACACAAATCAAATTTTGCTGTCCCCAAAATCGCAGAGAGAACACCAAAAACCTGGGGCTAAACCCTTTTGCTTTATCTTCTAGAACAGTTTATGACAAATACAAAAGATCCAAAATGCGTGGCTCAGAATAAGGGAAAGGCCAGAACAAAGCACTCTCATACAGACAACAACAAAAATTAAGTATCTGGTTGCATGGGAAGCTTGGCTAGATAATTAGGAAAAGTAGATGAACAGGGCTGAATCCCAGCGAATAGAAACCTTCCCCTTAGAGCAGACTTCTGTGATGCACAGAAACTTGTAGAAAGCACCTCAAAAACAAGGAGTAAAATCTTTTAACTATTTTGGAGGTCATGGATTACATCCCTGGAAAAATACATACACAAGGGGGTAGGCTGGGAGAAGGGGAGGAGCTGCTGCTTCACAGATCCAACAACAGAACCCCAAGGGAAACCCTGAATTAAATCAATAAGCAAATTAAAACCACCAGGTGAAATGTTATTAGGGACAGGACAGTCCCATGTCTCAAAGCATGTACCTACAGCTGACTTATTAAAAAAAAGGAAAAAGCGCTTTGCAATAAAGTGATCTAACAGATGTACCCTTAATACAAGTGATCTACATCATGACTAAGCTCTGCATCACCAATAAAACCACAAACTGATGTCACTGTGCCTCCTGACATGAAGTAATGAAAAGCATACATGTAGTAGTCCTACCAAAAATGCTTAACCTGAAACTAATCAAGAAAAAAAGATAAAATTAGGTTGTCAAACATTCTACAAAACAACTGGCATAGACTCCTAATAATGTTAATGTCATACAAGACCAAAAAAACTAATAAACAAACAAACAAAAGGGGGGAGGAACTGCTCTAGTTTAAAGGAGACTAAAAAGACACAACAAACTCAATGTGTGGTCCTTGGCTAGATCCTGGATTAGGGGACAAAAGTTATTAAAGTACATTTGGGGAAGAATTAGAAAAATTTGTAAAAACAGACCGTATATTATGTTATTATTATTGTATAATGTTCGCTTTCTAGAATGTGATACAGTACTGTGGTCTTATGCAAAACGACATCCTCATTCTTCGGAGACATATGCTGAAGTATTTAGGGTGAGCTGTTACAGGAAGTATGCCATTTAATAGTACTTTCCAATCATTTAAGAAAAAGCATGTGCGAGCACAAATATTGCAAAAAACAAAACCAAAGCACCGAGAAAACATGTCTACAGTACATCCAAAGGCATTTTTCTTCTTCTGAATGTTCATCATTTGGATCAGCTCAATTTTTAAATGAAAATACTGTCAATCAAAAAGAACACAACATTTTATTTTGGGTCCTAACCCTGACCTTGGGAAATAATGGCTTTCTAAAGTTCAAATAAATATAAAAATTATATAAGCTGATTTGCTCTTCACTCTTGGCTTTAACACTTCAAGGGATACAAGTATTCTTCATAATCTCAGAGAACAGTTCTGAGTAAAACGGAATCCATATGAAGAGGGATAGAATGAGTAATTAAAATGCAAAGATAAAACAACTTTTGAAAACATATAAATCTGGAAGAATAAAGAAATAAACTGAACTTCCCAGTATTTCTCTTTAATTCCAGTTATGCCATTTGGGGTATAAATTTTTATAAGCAAACGAAACAAATTATATTTAAAAAAAACCTTTTTCTTTGATATAGTGTTATATATTTTTTTCATATAACAGGCCCTGAGTGGCTTAGTTAATTGGAGCGCTATACTGTACACGAAAAGGTTGTGGTTTGATTCCTGGTCAGGGCACATACTTAGGTTGCAGGTTCAATTCCCAGTCAGGGCATGTGTGGGAGGCAGCCAGTCAATGTTTCTCTCTCACACTGACGTTTCTCTCTCTCTCCCCTTCCTTTAAGACTAACTTGAGAAAAGAAAAAAGGCAATAAAAACAAAGGATTCCTAAAAGCCTGTAAGACACATATACTTCTTTAGAAGTACTTCCCCCCCTTCTTCCCCATAAGAGAGCCTTTTCTAATCTAGGTTTACTCTGGATTTAAAATCACCATGTAGCCATGGATATTAATCTATGATTAATATGATCGCTGTTCTGAACTGCCAAAGGGGAGAAATTGCAACTCAGTTCAGCAGAGAGGAACGCACAGTTCCTTCTGTTATGGACATGCCAGATAAGCACATACTCTCCAATGTGCCAGTCAGCCAACACCTGAGATATAACAGAAAAATGAGAATACGCTTAAAATGTCATCAACAGTACACTGAAAGCATCAGTTAACATAATTAAATCTTCATATTCCCCCCAAATGAAAAGTCACTTTAAAGCTTTATCCATTAATTTCCCGTGTATATTATTTACTATATTGCTCTCTTTGTTAAAATATCAGTCGGCATCTTGTACTATACTGTCCTCACAGGAGAGTTTTCACAAAAAAGAATACAGGAACTGGCTACTGTGTTAGAAGCATAGAAAATCACAGCACCATTCTAAGTACCACAGATGTCTGGGCCATAAAGCCTTTCAGACTCCTACAACTATTGTAAAACACACACACAAAAGAACACAAGAAGTTCTACCTAGTGCTTGGGAGTGAATGCAATACAAGTGCATCCTAATTTTGAGAATATCCATGTAAGGATGAACTGGAAGGCCCTCATTTACTTTTAATACCAGACATCTCTCAACCATTTAAGTCTAGTAACACAGTAGTGACAGTCAAGAGTTATCTATTTGTAGACAAGACATATATACACAAAAGAGGTAAACCAGACCAAATATAAAGACAGAAATCCAACTATATAAAACTGCACACTATTTATATTTACCTACTTTCCTCCACACTGAGGCGGGAATGAGGAGACGAACAATCCTCCTATACATGCTCATCTTTTTTCTCCTTTAAAAAAGAAACCTTTGAGAAGATATACAAATAGCTAATGAGCACATGAAAAGGTACTCTAAATCACTAGTTATAAGAAAAATGCACATCAAAATCACCATGAGATACCATACCCATTAACATGGCTATTACCAAAGAAGGGAAAATGACAAGTGCTGGTGAGGATGTAGAGAAATTGGAACCCTCATGCTGGTGGAAATGTCAATGGCACAGCCTCTATGGAAAAACTTGGTAGTACCTCAAAATGTCAAACAGAATTACCATACAATCCATCTATTGCGCTCCTAGGTTTATACCCAAAAGAAGTGAAAGCAGCCCTGGCTCGGTGGCTCAGTTGGTTGGAGCATTGTCCTGTACACCAAAAAGGTTGTGGGCTTAGTCCCTGGCTGGGGCAGTTAGATATGAGATGCAACCAATGGATGTCTGTCTGTCTCCCGCCGCCTTCTTCTCTCTAAGAAGTCAATAGCATATCCTCAGGTGAAGATTAAAAAAAAAAAAAAAAAAAAAAAAAAGAATCGAGTAACCAACTCAGGGGGGAAAGAACTCTATAGGAAGGAGACATCTGAGTTGAAAGTTGAAAGATAAGGGGGCATTCACTTATTCATTCAGCAAATACCTACCGAGCATCAACTATGTGTCAGGTAGTATTCTAGGCAATGGAGATGCATTGTAAACAACAAAACAATTTCTATTTCCGTGGAACTTACTTAAATTTTTATAAGAGTGAAGACAGTAGGAGTGAGTCTCTACTGCTTGTTCATGTTTTTTTTATTAAAACAATTAATTTCTACCTGTGTCACAGGGGAATTAACTTGGGTTGAGTCCCCTAGGGCCAAACAGTTTGATTCCAAGTCTGATGATGCTTTTTTTAAAAAAAAATATATTTTATTGATTTTTTACAGAAAGGAAGGGAGAGAGATAGAGCTAGAAACGTCGATGAGAGAG